TTGAATAGAAGAGAAAGAAAAAAACAACAATATCAACCTATACATAAACTGCAATCAAATGGAAAGAAGAACATATTTAGTGCCTGTAAAACAAGTCCCAAATTAGCAACGCTGTTTCCAACCATAACACTTAAAATCAGCACATAAAATGAACCAGAGCAAAATGTTGTCGCTTCACTTTGAAATCGCATCAATGAATAATTCCTCCGAAATTTTCACATTTTGCAAACACTTTTCCACGTGAACCAAAAAAAGATGTTCCTGTCCCCCCAACGAAGATGACGACACACGAAACGAAGTCGCAATTCGCTTTTCGGACGGTGAATATGTATATATATAGATTGACTAGTGTCGTGATGTCGATGCAAACAAATAAAGACACATTCTAAATTATTGAAGTGGGCAGTTTTATTGTCAATGTTGGCCTGAAATGACAACTCTTTCACATTGTTATTGAGCACAGTTTCGTGTCTGGAAATGCGATGAATTCGACCTGGAACAGCGACATCGAATATTTTGGAACGTTTTAATGCTAAACAAGACTTATAAATGGCAGCAAATTTTTGTGTTTGCCCATTCCCTGTCCAGTTTCGATGGAAGTATTCAAAGACAATGGCATTCCAATTGTATATTGGGTTGATGCGACCACCTTGTCGATTGCTTGATTGCGAGTGCAATTGATATTTTCACCAATCAACCACACAGCTCCTTGCCCTCTAGATCGTGTGTGTGTGTGTATGCTTTCTAGGCTCACTTGTGAGATTTTGTCGACGTCTTCCACATCCATTGGATACACACGCACACACACACACGAGCACAGCAAAGCAATCGAGTTGAAATAAAAAAGCATCGAAATAGTTTGGCACATTGAAATAAATTGATATTTGGTATGCATGTGGACTATACAACTTCGTTATTTATTTATCGAAAACCATTTCGGATTTTATTGTTGTGTAGATTTGGTTTGTTTTTCGGACTTCGTTTATTTTCTGCTTTGTTTTTGGCTCGTTTGAGATAAAAACGGAACGATTCAACCGGTAGCCCAGAGCCATTGTGGCTGGATATTATTGCTGTTGATATATTCGTTGTTTTCGGCATCAACGCGCCCCCACGTACCACAGCGTGCTCAACCAAGATCCAAGTGTGTGGCAGCTACTTTCCCACTTTTGCCCATTTAATTTATCGTGTGCGAGGAAATTGGACGGAATTTTTGCCCCCATGACCGTGCTTTTTCCTTTTGTTTGACTGCACGCGCACGAGCTCACCTTTTATGTGCGATTCGTGTGTGTACTTTTTTCTTCTTCCTTTCTTCGTTTCGGGCTATATTTCCTTTTTTTCACGTTACTCCATTCGAATCAAAGGAATCTTAAAGTGGTGATTCTTGCTGCTCATTCGTCTTTTAGTTCAGTGTTGCCGTGCAAACGGCTGCTTTGTTTGTCCATAACATTTTATTATGTAATTGCGAATAAAAACAAAAACAAGCCAATTCCACTGTTGAAATATGCATTGAATGCGTGTGTGTGTCTTTGTTTGTGCTTTTACAACCAAAAACGGATGGGATTAGAATTCACACAGCGGAAAGAAGAAATGTAGTATTTTCAACCACATTTTCAGCCAGAGCTGGGAACTTCGTTTCAGTCGAATTTTTTTTCCGGTGGATTCGAAAAAAGGATAAAACAAAAGTGGTTTATAGAGAATCAAGTGACAAAAACTGCTTGAAGAAAGATCTAAACATGACTATGCTAGTAATTTATGCTCGATTTTTCACTCCAATGGAATTGCTTTAGCTTGGCCATTCAATGCATTTTCACGTGCAAACAATCTTGGTTGCAGTGCATCGATGCTTTTGCCGAATGGGTCGAGGGATGTAGCCGTGCTTTTATTTTGACTTTGACCAAAGATACAGCAATAAAGCTATGCTGAGCACATCAAGAGATGTGGATGTGGATGTGGATGTGGATGTGGATGTGGATGTGGATGTGGATGTGGAGAGGGAGAGAGAGAGAGAGAGAGAAATTAAGAGAGATAGTGTGCATGAGCAAAGAATAAACAATAACAATAAGCAACAACAAGCACGAGTATACTCAATTCAATTATGTAAAAGCACAGCATGACTAGAGAGACACACAGCAAGAGAGAATGTACCGTGTATATTTAGCTCGTGCAAAAGCTATTTGCATTAAAAATGCACAATAACGCCGAATTACAATTGCTTATGATCGTGTTAATGTAATTTTCGTCTTTGGGGCCGGAGACTGTAAATGCCAACCAACGGAAACAAAAATATTGGATTGGTGTATGGTGAATAGCATTAGTTTTCACGTGTTTTGTGCACATTTCAGGCTTTAATAACGAATTCACATCGATTGTTGTTGCTAATATGCCATTCGGAATGGAGGCTTTTTACCTAATGAAGCTCTTAAAATGTTTGCTTGTTCGCTTTTGATGCGGCTGAATGGAAAGAATTCGAAATTGATATGTTCCATCAATTGGATTCCGCTGGATATTTGAACGGCATTTTGAATGAAAAAAGCAACAACAGCACAGAAATTTCTTCATTGAGAAAAACGGCGCAAACAATCTTTTGTGGCCATTTGAATTTCTCACGATAATTGTACGTATTCTCAGCGGCAATAAAAACCCAACACCGTCAATTGCACCATATCACACAAAATTGTGAGCACACAACAATCGCATTGACCAATTGCGAATTGAATGTGACCTCTTGTCCGAATATGCAATGTGGAAAATATTCAATTTGGCCCGATGTGTTTGTGTATATGAGTGTCGATTCGAAATGGACAAACACAGCGCGCATTACATATTCTATCTCATGCACGACAAGCACGGACGCGCTCACACAGACAACGACCAAAACACAATCGAAGACAAAAGAAATACCCTCCATTTTCAGCGTACTTAGCTGCTACGTGATGGCGAAAAATGATTTGAAATCATTAAGAGGATTGCCTAACTTACTATACATACATAAACATACACACACACACAAACACAAACACACCGAACACCGAATGCTGTGTACTACAAATTGCAATATTTCTCGATGGACGTGGATCGCATCCAGAATTATATTTTACATCACGGTTTTTTTTTCGTCTTCTTTTGACACCGATCCAATATCCATCACGCGCACATCGCAATAAATTGCGATTGCTTCCTTTTCTTACGTATACTATCAAATTGGCATTTTAACGATTGCTGAGCGATGCGCGCAACAGAGCAAGCGTCGCCATTGCCAACGAAATCAAATTCGAATTTTGACTCTTGCAAGCGAAATCACATAAAATCCTTTTGGCCGATTGAAATATCAATCGAAATGAATTAATCAAATCACAATCGAACATTACACGTTGCTCAATTATAATCACATCAATTATGCAAAACACACCAGGCCAAACGATTACCTACGAATAAATAAGACTAATGACAACAATTCAACAAATGGTTGATTTGTTTGAAGTGGAAATAAAACATATTATGAATGCAAGAGAGAATAAACACAGAAATAATGTGGATTCAAAAGAAAATCGATCTCCAAAGACGAATTGAATAAACACGGTCGGTGGATGTGTGCAAGAGGGAAAAAAACAGTACACAACGGAAACGACGATGACGGGAGGGACGAGCCGTTTTTTCCCCATTTAAATTGCAATCTGTTGCAGATTTAACCATTTTCCGGTATCCTATTGTCATTTAAGTGGCAAGCAAAAGAGGCAAAAATCAAAATAAATAGCCTGAAATGGCAATCACCAGTCGTAACGTGCGAAATGAATGTAAGTTTTACTTCTTCGTAGTGTAAATAAAATGATCTCAAATATTGGCGCGACTAGAGAGCAAGCGAGAGCGAGAGGACACCTTTACATCGAAGAGAGTGAATAACAATCTGGCGGCCCCAACAAAGCACACAGACACTTACTTGAATGGAGTGCATTTTTGCTGTGCTGGAACCAATCATGATTCGATGTTTGGCTGTTCGATGCCCACCATCACAAATTCATTCTCACACGAACATGCACACACACGGACTCACAATGGCACATTCAATACAATAAAAATCAACATAGTGCACTAACTAATTTACCTCAACTTGAACAATTTAATTTTCATGCTGTTCGTTTTTTTTCTCATCTCTTCTCAACACAGATGAAATGAGACCAACAGTAACAACGACAGTCGAGAAAAAAAATAAATAAAATGATGGAATATAAACACGACGAGGAAAAATCGGTGAGAATTGTCTGCGCATAACATATTCCGGCATATTTACGTTTCAAACATTACTTCCAACGCACATAATCGATTGTAGTCCATTTGAAAATACACACTCCCAGCTCATGCAGAAAGAGAGCGATGAAGATTTTCCTGAATGTAAACTGAAACTAGATTGCGCGCATTGATTACACCGACCGAAATGCACGGTGCTGTCTGTGTATTGGTCGCCTGTAGGTAGCTGCTCTCTTTTTCATTCGTATGTTCACCGTATATTCTTATAAGCACACGCCACAGCAGCATGAATTTTTTCTTTGGGGGGCGGAGTTCTCGAGTACATGTTAGCCATGGAGAGTGTATGTACGCGCGTGTATGTGTGCATGCAGGGCCGCTGCTGCTGCTGCTTCTGCTGCTGCTATACTTCATATTCAGCCTGTATTCTCTCTTTCGCTCAGCAGCAGCAAATACTCAACGCTGTTGGCTCACAGCGATTTTGTAGGCACGAACTAGCTGAAGAATAAACCAATACCAAAATATATACACACCAAATATAGCGATTATAGCGTGCATTTGCTCCTACACCGTTTTTCGATCGCGCCTTGTGTATGGCTCACTCGTTGTACACAATATAGACAGCCCAATTCGTCGACGAACCCGTATGGAATATACATATGGTATAGTTGGTTTGTTTTTACGTACTTCTCATTCTCCGACATCGTCCAAATATAAAAAAGAACTCAAGCGAATCGATCTAAATATACGGTGTGCTCAGTACTGGTTTGATATTCAATGAAGAAGTGTGTTTTGATGCGCGCACTGCCTTTTCTGTCGTCGTCGTCGTCGTTCATTTTTGATATCAACGCAATTCGGAGCGAATATGCCAATATCCATTCGATTGAACGATTGAAAATTAAGTGATTCGTTCGAAGTGTGTTTTTGAATATTTGGTGCAAATTTTTTCTATTGTTCTCTCCTCCGGTTATCATACTCAGTGTGGTTGAGTTCATTTCAAATGACCATTAATATTTACATTCAAATTGAGTGAAATGTCCAATTTGCATGTGTTAAAATTGGTAACAAAAGAAGTTGAAATAAGCAATAAATTATAAACACCCAGCCAAAGTAATAAACATTTAAATTGACAAATTTGAATATTGAGCGATGCGCGTTAACCGAAAAAACGAATGACAGAAAAAAAACAATTTAGTCAATGGATTAATATTTAATTAACTACAAAAATAAAGAAAAAATAAAGAAGTGATCGACTAAGAAGCCAAATAGTCACCGTGTAATTAGAGTGTTTCAATCACACAATAAAGTGGTCCATATAAAAGACGAAACGAATTAACACACAAACATATTTATTCTTGATAGAAAAAGAGAAAGAGAAAAAACAGAGAGAGAGAGGGAGAGAAAGAAAGAAACGAGAAAAAAGAGAAAAACAGATTAAACGCCACTTTGACCGAATCACCGCTTATCAATCGGTCGGATCAGTTCTGTTAAAAGCTGAAGTTAAATGGGCTCGTGCATATCCATTCGCTGCTCGTTCGCTCGTGTATATTACGTATGAAATGAACAAGCGGCAACATCACCCGAGTTGCTGATAGATTTTTCTAAAACGGTTTTTTATTGAAGTGATTTTGTTTTTCTGTATCTCCTCACTCGCTCTCTTCGTTCGATTACACTCGTCATCACCACCGTTTCGTTGTTGTTGCTCGGTTATAGTCAGATAGTGTGCATGTTTCACATTTCGTTACGTTCGTTCCTATAGTTTCTTTTTTCTGTCCTCCGCTACACACCAACAATAAAATACCTGCTCACACATTGTCAGGGTACTTGGCCAGCCGTTTGCTTGTTTGATTTTTGTGTCAATGGAATGTTCAACACACACGACTTTAGATAGAACTAACAAATAAATTACAAATTGACAAATAACAAAGTGATGATTCATCGGTCTCAACAGCGTCACATATCAATCGCCTCCATGAATCAATGGTGAACAATATACACAATAGTGGTGCAGTGACAAATCGGGACAGTAAAACTAACCAAAAACAGCAGCAACAAAAAACGATACAAACTTCTATCAATAATAATAATTGATGTGATGCATTTTTGAGCCTCCGAAAAAAACACGCGAAAAAAAAACAAAGACAAAACAATTGGCTCACATAGACAGAGAAAAAACTGCAATTTGAATTCAAGTTTTTGTCAGTGATTAATTCTGGTATCCAGCATATTCCCAAGTTGAATTGATTGGCCTGTGTGGTGACGTGAGATTGCCTGTAGATTAGTCGCGCAGTATTCGCAATAAATTAGTGTTGTGCAGTTGAATTAAATACACGCAAATCCAAATGAAAATGTCGACACATGAAGATGATGATCAGGATCAAGATCAGGAGATCAATGTTGATTCTGATTCCAGACTGTCCTGTGGCAGCGGATCGGATATCGATATGGATGGCACTGGCAGTTGCTATGACTCGGAAACGGCATTAGGGTAAATGACTAACTGCATCTTTGCATCTTTCTAAATTTAATCGACTCAAAAAGAATGACAAACACTTCCATCATAAGCAGACAGGAAATGATAACAGTTGTTCAATTCATTTTAATTAAATTTCCAATTTATTTATCTTCTTTAAAATAATTCGCACTTCGGCATAAGCATTTTGATTGTGAGTGCGCCACGCGCGCGTGTGAGAGTATATGCGCAACCGAACGCGACCGCCCGCGCGCAAAAATACAATTGGCCAAATTCCACAATTGTGGCAAATTGGTGCGTGTGCATGACGAGATGTTGCGCTCGCGCTCACGCCCGTTCGGTTCTGTTTGATGGCGAAGTTGATTTGCCAATTAAGCGAGAAAAAAAAACACAATTTCTTATTAGATAAACAAATAAAAACTAATGTATGAAACGAGTTTTGGGATACGGCGATCACCGTGTTTGGGCCGGATTTGCAAATACAAAAAAAACCAGTTCCTTCAGTAGGCTTTTGTATTTAAACAATTTATAACTTTATCAGTAATATTGTAAATTATAATGTAATATTGATTGAATTAAAAGGAAAACAAAAATTTGCATTTGACTGAAAAATGTTGATTTTTGTTTGTGTTTCGTTTGTGCGCGCGAGTGCGAGAGCTAAACATCAAACCGTCGTCGTCGTCGTCGTCGTCGTCGTCGTCAGTGTGGTTCGATCGGTTCAAGCTTATGTGTTTTTCAAATCGATAATTTTATAATTGCAGTTCGCTTTCATGCAAACAGTTAATGGCTAAGCGCATTGAAGGCTTTACATCGCATTTCAATTTGCATACTTCACTTTGCTAATTGGTATTTTTCACTTGAATCGTCACTTCGTATTTAGCGCTACATTAGCTATCGCGCGTTATGCTAACGAAAAATCCACAAACACGATCCATTCTTGCAGTTTGAACGCATTGCGGAAGTGAAGCGGAAAAAAAGTACACTTGATCGGTTGGAGTATTGTTTTTATTTTCTTATTCCATTTGAAAATGTTTTCTTCTGATACCAATCGAAAATCTCGATCATTCAATCAATTTCATTGAAGGATATTGAACTACTGTGCTTAGTTAGAATTAAATCAACACTAGGTTTATATAGAAGTTTGCCTTAGTTACAATTTGATAAATGAGCTTTGTTTTCCATTCAAAATTTTATCAATGTACTATTTTAACATTTGATTTATCTTTATCTTTCGTTTATGGACGTGATGATGCAGCGATTCAATTCAATCGGAACAGACGAGATCGTCGAGCGAGAATTTGCCATTCAGTATATCACGTTTATTGTCGAAACCATATGAAAATAACAACAAGAGCCCAACATCCGATAGAGATGCGAACGCAATCCTACTGGATGCTGAACATGCAAAATTTACGTCACATTTAGCAAATGCCGGTATACCTTATTCAACCGCCAGTGCATTATATTCGTCGTATAGCCCATTTTATAGTCCTGGTCAAGTATTACGTGTACCACCGCAACGAACGCCATTAACGTGGGCACTACCGCCACTGCATCCTGCTGCATTAGCCCATCAAGCTGTCAAAGATAGATTAGCAGGTGAGTCGAAAACCGTTTTGTTTTGCTGTGAGTGTGTGTGTGTGTGAGTGAGTGCGTGTGTGCCAATAGAAATCATGACCAACAAATGACAACAACGGCAACCATCCGTGCGCCATAGTTCCAAAGTGCATCGAAATCGACGTGAGCAGTGAAAATGAGAACGTTATAATTTTTTATAGTCAATTAACTGGATAAAAAAAAATAAACAAGAGAAATCGAAATATAAAAACTCAAAACACTTTTTTGATCAGTAAATACAGCTCGATAATCTGAACTGTTTCTAGTATATTTGCACACGCAATATGACCAATGCCAACGCTGCCACATCATCTCATTCTAGTCATCATGTGTTCGGAGTCATTGTTTAAATTAGATTTTTATGACTAAAATTGGCCATATAAATCGACATTAAAAGTTATTGTCTCTCTCGCGTAAGCATGCAATTCATTCGCGAATGCACGGTGAAATTGTGCCGTACGTAGACAAGGCTTTTTTTAGGAAGTCATTAATTCACGACAGATAAAGAGGTCTATGCCAGCATACCATGCATCTCACAAGCGTAGTTTTACCTTCTTTTTTTTCTGCTAATTTTGGAGAAGCCACCTGATTCGCATGTAAATAATGACGGTGAGAGAACAGAAAAAAAAGATCCACGTACTTAAAATGAACACCAAAGCAAAAGCCTCCGGCCAATCGGAATTAGTAAATATGATTAAGCTCCGGATGACCATATTAATAACTACAATCATAAAGTCATGCCATCAGAGAATATATCAGTCATTTCGTTTGTGTCAAATTAAAACACAACGTCAATACACATTGATAAAAAAAAGTGCACCAGCACACGGTGGAATAATCTTCATTGCTCAATCGGCTACCGGTTTTAACCCAACACAAAAAGGAAACACATCGAAATTATCGGCGAAAAAAAAGAGAGTGAAAAAAAACGGTCATGTCGATTTTTTTTTACAACCTTTTATTGCATGGTGTACGTTCCGTGGCCGCTGTCAATACGGTCAGTCGGTTTAACAAATGATGAAAATAAAAAAAAAGATATATCGAAAAATAAATGGACAGATTCAAAGCATGCACGATGTGTGAATGTGAGCGACCGTATTAATTCTCAACCTTTTGTCCTTTTCTGCGCCTCTGCGCCTTTACTTTGATTCATTTCGGCATTTCTTCTTGCGTTTTTTCATCCTTCAACGCGGCACTCAAAATAGCTACATCCTTTTGGTGATTTGATGGTGCCGTTCGTGTTCCATTCGAATTGTGGATTTTCTCTTCTGCCGCTTTTTTATTACAACCTTTCGCGAACGCAAACTCTCTCTCCCTCTCTCTCGTTTGTCGCACATTAAAAAGGCGCTCACATGCAAACGCCGAAGAGGAGCCGGAAAAAAAAAGATTCGTTCGGCAACCGTCCCCAAAATGAATAGCACATATAAAATCGTACACATCGAAATGCCCGAATCAAATGACCATCCAAAATACATATAATTATTATTCCGTGGTGATGAAAACGGATGCACAATCAAGCATCGAACATAAAATTTACTACACACGAAGGTGCACAATGAATGAGATGAGGTTTCATCGTAACATTTTTTTCTCTCTCTCCCTCTCTTCTTCTCAAAACCCAAAATCAAAGCGCAACAATCCATCTTTTCATTCATCTATTGATTTCGGTCTTTTCGATCTCCTTGTTTTGATGCGTCACACAGCATCTTTTGATTCTACCATGTGTGCGTTTAAATACCGGCGCTTCGATTCTTTCGGTTTCATCTCATTATTACTCATCGCCGTCTTCATTCAGAACACCATCACTTGGTTGTTGTTGTTGTTGTTGTTGTTGTTATGGTGGTGGCGACATTCTAACAAGAATTTTTACTACACAATCGTAATATTAGCCGTCGCTGATGGAATTCTTGTCTGACACATCTTAATCTCTAGCTTGGAATTTGTTGGGATGAATTAAAATATTTGACTTTTGACAATTTCGTGAACGAATACAATAAAAACATATTTCGTGAACAAGTTCCTTTCCTTTTTTTCCTATACATATTTTAAATCCTGGACACCAAATGATGATTTTTATTCTATGCAAAGTGTGGAGCATTCACAAATTTTTAGTGCTATAAAAATAAGAATATTTCTGGAATTCGAATAATTTTCAATTGATTTACATTAAATTGGCTTGAATTAAATTTATATTGTTGTATGCTTTCACCATTTGTTTTTCAATTATAAACCCTTTCGTTGTGAAAAATGAATTGTTGACTATATCCTTGACAATAGGTTCACATAACGTAATAATGCTACAAAAAAGAAGAAGAAAAAATCCGTGAAAACTAAAAACGTAACAATAAAATGTGAAAACAAATACCTCTGGATCAACTTTTTTCCAGCATCGTTCCAATTCGAATGCATAATCGCAGGCATCGAACTTTGGATCTTTGGAAAATTCCAAATCTTCACATTTATCCACCATATTCATGAGAATACTATTTTCTTCGTCGGTTAGAAGATCGGCAACGCGATCCAATTCTTCAGAAAAGTCATAATGTTCAACTTCGTGTAAAAAGCAATACCTATCAAAAGTAGAACCAATTTTAAAACAATATGGGTCTCTTGCTGAAATGTGCAACTAGAATAGAAAAATTACATGTAACATTTCAGTCGATTGTCGGCGTCTTCAATTTCGCTAACATCAGCCTGTATGAATTGTTGTATCACCTCTGAATAGGACAGAAAAAAAATTAAGAGACAATTTGTTTTCCAATTTTTTGTTCAAAACTTCCGGAGAAAATGAGAATTTTCATTATGAGAAAGAAAAATTCTTGCTTACCTTCCGGCACGGTGGTCATTCGGACACATAAATCATGCATTGGCTTTGTCAAAGCGACCATTTTTGCTGGTGGCACCTAAAAACAATATGATTAGTGCTGTTTTTTTTGTTCAGATAATTTTTTTTTCATCACTTTACTGAGTCTGAGTTTCGAATTCCGAAAGCGTTGACCGAATGGCTGTAACCTAATAATGACAAAACAACGACAAATCGAACAAAAAACATTTTGACCGCTAATTCAATGATCTTTCCCAATCGAATAAAACCAATGCACCAAAATGAACGAACGTTTCAAATAAGATTGAAACATAGAATTTTCCTGTACACACCTCAAACTTGTCAGTCGGTTGCAGTTTAATTGCAGTTGTGCAATGTACGGGATAAAAAAACGTGGAACAATGCATAGTAGAAAGCCATACATGACAAACAGAAAACAGAAACATTTCAGCAAATCATTTGTTGTTGAAAGTCATTCGAGGAAGTTCGATGACGGCCCAAGGACGCTAAAATCAGAGTCTTTCTGAGCACCTAGGCGACTGTTATGGTGCCCAGGGGCGTAAGACTGAAAGGGGCACAGAGTAGCGCGAGAGCGAAAATTGATGAAACGCAATTGGAAAAAAGGCGATGAAAAAGAAAGGGCGCTAAAGGTGATTGGACGGGTACTGGCTAAAATACCATTTCAATTAAGTCCATTCCAGACACATCGAACACATTCGACAATTTCCTTCTTTCATTTTATGGTTAAATCTCGCTAATTTCGCCACCAATGCTTTTTTTCTGGACTAATTTTGCTTGATTACTCGCCGCAAAATATGATTACATTTTTGTCGTTCCAAACGAGCATTATTAACTTTGGAATCGAAAGACATAATCTATCTTTAATTTGCGTACATTTACATTAAGTTTGGCAAATGCTAATTTATTCAACAGTTACCAAATCTCTTATGCCACGAACAAAAAAAAAACTTGCGCCGCGTCAGAAAATCACAGTACATTGAACTATTGAAAAGGGAATGAAAAAATCTTGAACAACAAAAAGAATTTTGGTCGGTTTTTTTAATGGTTTTAAAATGAATTTCCCCAAGTAGTTCTAGTATCGTTGTTATCTCAACAAGTTAATATTTCTTTCAACGACTTCTTTTACCAAAATGAAAACATGATAATTTCAAAAATATTTAAATTTACATAAGATTATTGTTTGCGTTCATAAATTTCGGTGTCTGACTAGAATAATATGAAGGAAGACATGATGATCGATTGTTATAAATTATACGAATGAAATGTCTCAAATAGCCATTAGTTTTTCATCGGATTTTCATTGGAGTAAACAAAACGACTTTATTGGGCTGAACCATATATATAAAGATGTTTGTTTTTCTAGCGCCACGTGCACTGTAGAAACAATGTAATTTATGCTTTCTCCGCCCATGCTACAGTCGATGCATGTATGTGTGTTTATATAAATTCGGTATCAAGAATCGATATTAATTTGTTAGGGCTTTTTGGGTGGCTTGCGGCATTGTGGTTCGATCCATTGAAGCGGTATCGCGCGAGAAGGAAGTCACCATCAGGGGGGAGCTGCAAGTGACTATAAGAAAGATAAATGTTCATATTGTCTAATAACCTTTAAGTAAAGTGTCAAACGGCTGCTCGTCGGTGAGAAGATGAATTGAAGCAGCACCATTCATGTGATGGATGCCCAAGTCTTGTTACTCATTCGATATTGAATTATTACTTTGTATGTGTGTTTATGCTTGTGTGGTTGGTTTAACCAGCGGCGAAATATAAAGTCAAGGTGAAAAAGATTCAATGTACATAACTATTATGATTATTGATTCCGATTTGATGCTATCCAGAGATCGTGGGCCATCAAGAATTTATATGAAGGAGGCAAAGCAAAAAAAAAATGTATCCAAAAGTGATAAACAAGCATTATGGCTTTTTGGATTTGGCCGGTAAAACATGATCCAAACCCATATGTATATGCAATAAAGATAACAAATGAAATAGAAAATCCCAGTTGATGCAGCACTTCGAAACCGTTGCTTTTTATTTTCGGTGTGGCAAAAAGGAAGAGAAGAAAAAAAAAACCTGTCAAGAAAAATGGTTTTGGTGAATACGTGAAACCAAACATGACTTTGTTGTTTCGATAACGCATTTATTCACGTTACTCTGTATTTTTCGCATTCAAATGGAAGAAGAAGAAAAATGGAAATGGAAATAAAAATGAAACAGTTAAAGTGAAATGCGAATAAAAATAGCATGTACGATCCGTGGTAAAAGTGAAGAATTCGATTTGTATCGACCTTACATTACTGGTTCTTGCTGTTCTTTCCTCTCTCGCTCCTCTACTTCTTCTTCTTCTTCTCCTTTACGGGGAACATTTATTTTTTATTCATAACCATATTCATAATGTATCGAATGAAACGATGGATCGTCATGTGCACGCGCCCATGAGTGCGCACACGCTTACTAACTCATATGCAAAGTAACGCAAAACCTGTAAATGGATATGATTATGATAATACGGCATATGTATATCGGTATCGTTAACACAAGGAGCACTGATACGCAAGAGGGTTGTGCCATACGCTCTGTTCTTGTTTGTGTTTTTTTTTATTTGCTCGTCACACCAACAACAACACCAGAATTCGGTGCCTTTTTTTTGCTACAAGAAAAAAACACACACAAGCTGATGTGAGCGCACGTAAATACACATCGATAAATGTTTGGTCTCGCCTTATGCATATCGCTGCTTTGACGCTGATGTGCCATCCACTAAAATTTCATAGCAAATATGAAACGAGGAAAAAGGAAAACACTCACTCATACACACCAGCCATAAAAATCAATTTTCCTAAGGACATAACGCGAAGTGGTAAACGGTCTTTCTCTCTTTTGCATACACGAAAAAAAAAACCGAAATATATGCACACCGTTTTGCAGCTCTAAAGTGAACGAGCCAATTTTTGGTTCGATGATCAAAAACTTTATGAATCCTATTTAGACTTACTTAAAAAAAAGCACCCGAAAGAAACGCACACACAAACACAAGCACCGATATAAAGTAGAAGAGGCCATTATACGAAGCGATATTTTAACCATATCGTTAGGTTATGATTTTTATGAATATAAATCCATCCATTTATAGATGATTTGTTTGGGTGTTGTTTTTTTCGCTCCAAATCCCAATACCCATTGGATTGCCTGCTGTTGCTTTTTCGACATTTTTGAATGATTACGGACTGGTGTGCAAGCGTTTATTTCCGCCACTAGATTTGATTATGCTTTGACCGTGTGCGGTGAAAATGATTCAGGAAAAAATCAAAATGGGTCCCCCCTCTCTTTCGTATCAAGCGGATAAATTTGACGGCATAAAATAAATATTTTATACTTTCTGCTGCTTGTGCTAATCTTAAAACCGCCCACAATCAATTCCTAAATCTATCGATATAACGGAAATACGATACAGTGTACATAATCTAAAAAATGGGCTGGTTTTGATCGAAAAATAAAATGCCCAAGATGCCAATATTGAAATATTATTGATTGCGATATCGAGACCAACGTGATAATCGCCGATTATTTAAATGGAGGAGGCAAAAAGCGAACAGAACATTTTTCTGGGCTATTTTTACACTGTTGGCATTCCCATGGAATGAGGTTAGAAATAAAAAATCAAATTTGAATGCGGAGAGACAAGTATTAAAAGGCAACCAGAAACGAGCACAACCATTTGAATACGAATTACGGGAATATTTTTTTTTTTTAATATTTCTTCGTTCGTTGAATTTCTTCTCTCGGTCGATTAAAACATTTTATACTTTTGACTTGAAATAATAATCATATCGTAGTTACGTGTATAATCAAAGTTAGTCGATGGAAATCGTAAAGAGTAATTGGACTTTGCAGAATGAGCGTTTGTGGCTATGAATAAAAATTTTTCTCTTCCATAGTATATGTATAAAAATTTTGTTGCCGTTCGGTCAAATTCCCCGAAAAGGATATCGTTAAATCAATCTATTTACGTGTTGCGAATTGAAAGAGACCATCCGCACGCCAGTTCATATCAATCTCAACTCATAATTAAAATTAATGATGAAATAATTGTTTAGTTAACATTACAAACTGTACACCATTGGCTAGCTCTCTCACACACATACACACAGTGCTGGTTCAGGTTTTTTAGTATGTGTGTTTACATTAAGCGGTCTCTACACAGATGAAAGCCGATTAAAAACACACGTTAAGCTTAACCATCATAGATGTGGTGAGTTAGTGTGTCTGTGTGTAGGCAAAAATGAAGTCTTCATTCATAACAATGCCATCAAAATTGAATCTGACGGCTTTGCAGTAGCAGCACCAATTGCCCATTCCAATATTTATGATAGACATGGATCAGGGGTTTTAACACACAACAAAAATTGTTACTCTTTCTGTGCACTCTCTGTTCAACCTTCTGACAGTTTTATTATAACATAATTCTACAAACAGTTGTTAAAACTCATTATTTACCTATAGATTGCTGCTGTTGCTGCCACTATGGCTGTTGTTGTTGTTGACGTGTTGTTGTGTGAGTGTGTGCGCGCGCCCGTTCTTGTTTTGTTTCATATAATTTATCCATCTTTTTGCAATTACTCACGCGATTTCCTTCATTGGGGCAAAAATATTTTGTTGTTTCATTTGATTTAAGCAAAGTTAGCTTGGGCTCTCTGTTGGATGTAATTGCCGGGTTTTGTTTCATATCTAAAATGCTATAGCACATCGAAAACAACAATGACGATGACGACGACGACGACGACGACGACGACGACGACAACGATGTCAAAAATAATTATCAAATGCCATAATTATGTCATTGACAAAAGGTTTATTTCATTTTTTATTGTTTTTTTATTTTATTCGACTTCGTGTTGTCGTCGTCATCAGTTTTTTTTATGCTTCTCTTTCGCACCGTTGAAATACACAAGCGGAAGAGAAATATTGCATGCCACTAAATATCGTTGGTTGTTCTCTTATTAGGCCGGGCGGAAAGTAGAGGCGGTTTTTCAGCCTAAATTCAGTAAAAATACAGAAGAATTAAAAAAAAACGAATTAAAATATTTTTTTCTGTTCTTTTTTTTTTCGTCCAAGTTTATGGAATAATTTATAAAATTGTTCAGAGATAGAGCAAGCACAGTTGTTATGGCTTTTTGATTTTGTGTATTTAATTGAGAGCCGAAAGAAACCGCTGACAAAATCATGCGTTTGTTTGGTCGGACTCAACAATTTGATCGAAAACATTTGATGTAACCGAAAAGTATATAGCATTAAGTTTAAATACGTCACCTGGGTTAAACGAACACGCAATTAAACACCAAGTATTTTGACCGTAGTTATGGCGTTTACTCACACTGGTCGACACATTTTTTTTCTGTGATAATTGATGGACATAAACTCACCAATTTTCTTTATTCACGTTCAATCAACAGCTTTCCCAATAGCCAGACGAATAGGACATCCATATCAAAATCGAACTCCGCCAAAGAGAAAAAAACCCAGAACATCATTCACTCGAATTCAAGTGAGTATTTTCACATGAACCAAATGATAAAAGAAATGAGAATAAATAGGGAGAATGAGCCACAAAAACAAAGAAGAAAATGTCCATTTTTTCAATGATTTCATTGATCCCATTTTGTTTTGCAGGTTGCCGAATTAGAGAAACGTTTTCATAAGCAAAAATATTTGGCGTCGGCCGAACGAGCTGCACTGGCTCGTGGTCTCAAAATGACTGATGCTCAAGTCAAAACATGGTTTCAGAACAGACGAACTAAGGTAATAAGCAGTTTAAAATGATAAAATCCCATTATTCAAGAGACTAATGTTAACGTTTTTATTCATTATTGGTTGTCCGTGTGTCGTGTGTAATGGTCGATGTTCAACTTCAGTGGCGGTAAGTGAAACCAAAAATCATTGTCATTTTTATTACGATGTACATGAAACGAATTTTATATAAATCATTTGAATATGTTGATGGCGGCATATAGCCTCTATTCGATCATCTCTCGTTTTCGGTATCGTGTATGACGACGAGCGATGATGCAGATTGTTATGTGATATTATAATAATTGAATGTAACGAAACGACGAATGATGGCGATGACAAAACATGTCGTGAACAAATTCACGTTCAAATGGAAGCAGAGAAAAAAAATGAACAAACAGCAAAACGAAGAAGAAGAAAAAGAAGAAGAAGCAGTGGCAAAAGAACACCCAACGGCTACGCATATATATATATATATATATGAATGCCAACTATTAACAGCAGCCCCAGCAGCAATAACAAGGCATTAATGATTGTGATGGGTGTAATTTGGGATTTGTCTCTGGTGAACGATTATTCAGAATTTTATGGTGGTGCGCATGTTTCGGGCAATGAAATGACACACCAACATATGCTGAAATTGACGCTCATAGAGCCCGTCAACATACATGTGTTACAAGCAAATCAAGTTCGGTCGTCGAACATACGAAATAATTTATCGAAAAGTTGTTGTTAAAGGCTGGCCCCAAAGGGAGACGTAATTAGCGCTGCAAACATCTCACTTTCAACACGAATTTCATGCATATTTTAAGAATTTTCGATGGTACGCACCGACAGAGACAGCCATCCGATCAGCCATTTTACATACATGCTACTCTCTTGCCAAAATCCGAAGTCAAAAGGTGAGAACATTGACCGGATAACCACTTATGTCATTTGATACGCCATCCAAGGCGTACTTCAATAGCCGATCACGGCGCGATGACAATCCCGATCGCATTATCATCGTCCGGTTTTGATGCAATGCGATTGGTTTCATTTTCGGCGTTTCAAATCCGGATTGAAATTTGCGAATGTATTCCAGCGACAAACCGACCGCATACACAATGGCATCAACCATTTAGTTTCTCTAACACACCAAATGGTTAATATTATGTGGATAATAATTTAATTGAATTATTCGGAAAACACATTGCGTTTCAGTTGCCTGATCACGGCACCAAAATGAAACTGTTTAATGCCACTTTGGGTGGTTTCTTTCTCTCTTTCTCTTTGAATAATTGAATAAAATCAGCAGAAGAACATTTTCACAGAGCGAACACACTCGTTTCGGTTAATGCTTAAATCAACACGAAACGATTTGAGTGAGAGGAAGAGAGTGAGAGATAGAGAAGAAAAGAATGAGTAGAAGAAGAATAATAACACAAAATATACTATAATATAGTACTATATCAATCGCAATATTCAATTACAAATCTATTTTTGCACTTGCTCAAATCGACAGATTCATTCATTATGTTTTTATGGTGAATATCGTGCATTGTTTATCAATTCGAAAAGGGCCAAATGAAACGCCACTATAACAATCGTTTCTCTTGCTGTTCTGCACAATGCCAACCGTGCACTGTACAATGCAGTACAAAACTGGTGGCTAGCTGTATGATGTGAATCGAGCGCGTTTTATATCGGGGCCAATTTGATTTTGTTTATTATGATTGGATGTGCGGAGCGAATGCTCACGCGCACACGGTGGTTCGCTGTATGTGCGCATTAAATTGTGCAGCCTCATAAATTGCACATTAATGTGTGAACCAATAAAGATTGTAAGCAATGCATGTAAATGCAAACGCAACAATCTAAATAATAATGGCACGTTGAAATTGAATGGTTCCAGTGTGCCATTAGTGTGGTAAAAGAGCATGCGGTTAACTTATACACACACACTTCTTTTTTGCATCTTTCACATTTTATCATTTTTTATTTGTCTCTGTTTTGCAAATTCCAAAATTATTCTTACCATAAATATGCTTTTTTTATACTTAAAACGACCGAAAAGCTTGTAATTATTCTTTGTAATTTAAACAGAGACTGGGCCAACGCTGGCAAATAACATGAACCAATCGTGTGTTTCTCTCTCTTTCTCACTCTCAATGTGCTTAAGTTTGTTGTGATTTTTCTGCAGTTTTAATGTGGCCATTCAATAGTGGCATGAAAAATAGTCGACACACACGGTATCGAACTATTGTATATCGCCATCTCGTTTGGTCCAGCTTTGCGCATTAGTTGCTTGTGCATGCAAACACACGTACACACACAAACACACACACAACGAATCTAATTGCAGAGCAAATTGTTCAGCCAATGAACAATAATAATTTCGAGGAGCTATCACACACTTGTGATGGTCAGCCAAATGCCATTTTCAACATGCACAAAACCCTCTCATTATTACATTATGTGTGAGTGTTAACACTGTTGCTTACCAAGCCACAAAAATAAGCTGGACATTGCATAATAATTTACCGCCTCAATCCATGAGTTTGCATGGAAACGGATCAACCGAATTGTTTCTGTACATAAACATCCAACCAATTTGTTGGAAACAATTTTAGACAAATCATGACGATCACTTGAATAAACCACATGTTCTGGACAATTTAAAGTGTAGACCATAAATTATCCGTAAAATATTTGTGTGTTGAATGAGAATTTTTGGTTTCATATTAAAAATGATTGAAACGATGGCATTTTTTTTTACTTCTCATTCACTCGCCAATGTTGTGGTCACACTCAATTTTTCATTCGAAACTTTCGAAAATCATTTTAACAAAATATAATCACACTTCTCCATAGCAATTTATGGTTAATTTATTGCTTCGGATAAAATATTCATGATTCAGTTTAGCCAAAAATGTCATTTGAACTGATTAATTCCGTGACGAATGAAATTTCGGCAGGTTTTCGTTTTGTTTGGTGTTCTATCTCAAACGATTCGTCAGTCGGCCAAATCCAAAAGTTAAATGAACTCAACTTGTCGCTCGTGATTCAGCGCATTTTTTGTTTCTTTGCTTATCTTCTGGGAAACCATTTTGAATATTACTTACGTTTTATATATTTAAAACGCTTTGTATTCCGTTGGCCACACACACACACACATACGCGGAACAAAAATGCGTCAGCCAGGTTCCGGATAAAAGATACAAGCGCTCACACCGGAGTACAACCATAAGGCTTTATGTATAATACATAGGCGAGTGTAGCATATTTTGGGATCCCCTATTTCGATGGTGTTCAAAGGCACAGTTCTTTTTTCGTCATCATTACCATATCACTTTCCAAAATAAAATGTAATAACCAACAACACCAAAAATGAACACGAGTGGGTGGAAATATGGAACGACAAAGATACGTCTACAAATAGCAAGAGCACACATTTGCGTTTAGTGTGATATAAACACGAAAAAAAGCAAACACACTCATTCACTCATACAACCTCAAACCGGCGCTCACATACTCCGGAATTAAATAATGGAAAGAAATCCGAAAAGATGTCGACTGCTAAAGAGGGTCTACGTTCGATATTCATATATACTTATAAATTTTTAATATCGACTCTTTTGTAATGGAATAATTTGGCTTCCTGGCGAGAGTGAGTGCTTCAGACTGGCTATTTAGTGAGAAAAATAAAAAAACGGATTGAATCCTCTGTAAAAACCAAAGAGAGAGAAAAATAAAACACCGTCGTTGTCAAAAGAGCTACTACAACCTCGAAAGTTTCGAGTAACCGTGTAACAAAACAAATGTTTTTAATCGTTTTGATTGCTTAAAGTACAATTTTGAACGATTTTCTCAATGATCTAAACCACAGATTAACAAAACAAAAAATTTTTAATGGCCTTATTTGACGCAATCAAAAATTGAGCCGATTTGATGTGACAAACAGCGAATAAAAATTAGAACAAAAAACTTCAGCACAGAGGCCGCTTTATACGATGTATTTGGTGGATAGAAATTCATGAGGTTTAATATGAAACACATCAGTCATTTGGTTGCAATTTAAAATTCCAACGAATTATTAGATGAATGCGAATGGGTGAGAGAAAGAGAGAGAGAGAGCGAATGGCGCGAGAATAACGTAGTCAAAAAAGACCACAAATTGAATACATTTTATATGCACAGGCACACAGACATTTGGAGGCACGAGGCACGTGCTTCGGCTGACTTAAACACGCAATATCACGTATCAAAACATTTCTAAAACCAGCTACCGGCACTGTGTGCTGAATCGCTTGGCCACAGCAACAAAGTATCTGAAACGAACAGCATTGTATACCCTCATCCGATGCACATTCGATCGAGTCCGAAAGGAAGAAAAACAAATTGATGCAGAAGAACTGAATCGAGAAAGAGACGAACGAACAACAGTGCAGGGGAAAAAACAAACATTTATCAATTAGGCGAAAAACATAAAAACTCACCAGAAATCAAATAGTCTACCTACCTACATGCAAAAATTCGACAATCAACGTAAAAAAAATGGCCTGCAACAAAAACGCGAATCAAACAAAATGATTAACAGCAGAAAAAACGGCGGCGGCAGCAGCAGCAACGGCAAGAGAGAATGTTGAAAAAAGGGCACACACCACCACCAAGTATTAAATCGGCTTCCGTACGGAATTTTTGCCCACTTTTTTTCTTTTTCTTCTGTCGTTGTTCTTCTCTCACTCTCGTTCAACTTATAATTAACAGCGACGATTGTTAACTAATGGAAAAAATGTGTTCAAACATTACCATTTTCTTTTCTTTCACTCTCTCTCTCTCTCTCTCTCAATTGGTTCACTGTGCATTTGGAAGATCGTCTAGTGCGCTGCTTGATTTACTTCATTCGTTCGAATTTGAAATTACGGTTCACATTTCCAACCGAGACACATTAAAACTGAGCATGGATAAAGAAGAATGAGAGATGGCGAACCAATTGAAATAAGACAGCCATACACACACTTCGATCGAAAGAGTTTAACTGAATGCGATTAAACACTTAATAAAACGGTTTTGACGACGCAAAAACGCTTGCGCTCCCTCTCTCTCTCTCTCTCTCTCTCTCTCTCTCTCTCTCTTTCCCATTCGTGTCCACAGGAAAATTCGGGCTTCGGCCAATGCTTAGTATCACCGCAAGCCGAATTCGATTTAATAACAAATGTTCACGCGTTCGAATTAAACGACGCAAGAGAGAGAGAGAGAGGGAGAGCGAAGAAGTAAAAAAATTACACCAAACCGAATGAATCGATTGAACGTCAATGTTTTACATAAAATTGCTACTTGAATAAGTAATTAAACGCTTCGTTCGATGGCCAGTGGCCACAGTCAACGGTGATACCATACCGACGGCGAATGGCAATCAGTATTAGAATGCGTGTATCATTCGAGCAGAGAGCATTAAATGTAAATGTGTGCTTAAGCCATGTTACGAATTGTCTGCATTACTTTTGCTCTGGTCTTTTTATGTTGGCCTGATTTCGGTTGATTTTCGAACCAGCCTGGCTATTTGCTTGATCGAATCAAAGAGGCTGTTTGAAATGAATATGGTTCGGTCGAGGAAAAAAAAGAAAAACAAACACAAACACAAACACACACCCAAATGAAAAGTATTGCGGTTCAGTGTTTGGTCCTCTCCTCTGCCCGCTTGCAAATCGAAATTGTTGCATTTATTACCAATTCCATAAATATGCAGCGTGTGTGTGGCAATTAAACATTTGATCGTTTCGATTATAGTTGCCATTAATGAAACCATATAACTTAGTATAAATACCTACATTTTCGATAATAAATCTTCGTGGCTTTTTTTTTCTTCGGTTTCGGATAAAAGAATTTCAATGTGTACGGAAACGCATGGACGACAGCGCGTCTCGCTGATAAGACAAAATCTTTAATAAATCCGTTCGCTTAATTTCCGTTCATGTTTAAATGGTTTCCTTCATTTTCGATAGATAATTGTTGATCGTTCGAATAACAATCGGCCGCTGCAAATAAATTTCCAACGTGAAATCGATTTCGTGTGCTGCCGAATGCCAAATGAAATAATAAGATTGAGCTTGTTCAGCTCATCACTCTATTGACTGCATTAATAAATAATCGATACAAAACGGCACGTATGCTCTGTCTCATAAGATGATCTCATCCATTGAGTTTTCGGGGTGGCGGCACATAAGACGACATCCATCCATTTGTGTTTGTTTATCGAATATTCGGTAACTTGATGACACAAGTCAAACAAGACATTCAATTGTTTGTTAAACACGACGATTTCACCAATTTTCACGGCAATTCTTTTACAAATGTCTTCGTTACCTCCTCGGCTGTAACACAACATACCATTCACAGTGTGTCTTTTGTCATTTGGCACCACTTGTCAAATGTAAACGATGTAATGCGTTTCGATAAATTACGGCAACTAATTTACAAAATGGCATGTATGTGAAAATCTATTAAATTAGGGCGAGAATGTGAACGTTTGAGCTGGAAAATTTATTTGTGAGGGATCGCTCTACTTCACGAGTGTGTGTGTGCACCAAATTTTGCGAACCAAGTAAGCGAACGGTAATGAATATTTTCATTTGATTAAATCTAACGAAAAGGCACAAACACACAACGTATTAACGATTTCGTGGTAAACAAAGTGTGTAAATAATTTATGGGATGTGCACATGCGATCATTCGTCAAAATCTAAGAAAGGCAAACACAACTGCCAAATCTAGCTCAAAATCTTTTCTTGTGGGTTTTTAGATTCATTGCAAAGACCAATTGGCCTTGTTTTTTATTCTTCGCATAACAATTTTGAGGGTTTTTCTTTGCCATTTATAAAAGCGCTTTTGGTATGAAGAAAAAAGGTAAAAAATGGTGTTATTAAAATAAGGAGCGTTAAATGAAAGACATCCGAAAAGCACAAAAATAGACAACGTGATGGTAAAACGTTATAAAATGCAAAGCGATGTTTCAGTTTGTTGATTCTTCAATGGTCGACGCTTTTTTTCCGTCTTGCTTGCCGTTGTTGGACATGATGCCATCGTTTATGGTTAAATGTTGATGGTTCTAATTTAAATTAACTTAGTAAAATCATCCCCAAGGATTTATGCCACACAATGTTTCTACCTTCATTCATGGCTCCTTGCACGTGCGATGGGCATCATAGACGTAATTGCTTGTAACATCTTCACGGCCGATCATTTATTCATTTTCGGTTTGTGTGTGTGTTTGCGATGTACCGTGCCATGCTGTGCTGTATTCGTTCATTCGGCCATCATGACGTGCACTGCTTTGATGTCTTTTTCGCCATGCCAATCCACTTCGTCCCCTCGGCCGCCTTAAGATTTCATTATCTTCGAACAAAAATGAGCAGATGCTTGAGCAAATATGATGGTGACGGTTTTTCGTGTAGGTCAGGAGTGCGCGGCGCGCGCGCACGCAAACACCGAAAAAGTCGAGCATTTTGTGTGTAAATGGCGGTGTAAAACATCAAAATGTCTCCTTATTAACGGGAGTGCGTTCAACTGAATCTGGTGTATGGCTTCGCTCCATTAAGATGGAGAAAATGCACCACACAGGCACACAGACACTCACACACTTAATTCTGCGACTGCCGCAAATCCTTTTCGAAAATGTAAAACATTCAACACTTCGCACAGATAAGTACCAAATCCATTTTATGGTGAATGTTAGGCGTGGAGAGAGATGCCGTGGCAAGCGATGCCAAGCCAAGCCGAGAATGAGCTTGCTCGAGGTTTAAGATGTTGCCATTATCAATTAGCTTAAAGATATTTATTGTTATTTATTTTTGCCATTAATTTAATGAGAAAAGAGCTCGTTATTTATAAAGACATTACGTCTTGTGTGAGCACTGAGCAGACTCGTCAGTGTCTGTGTCTTTTCTCTCGGTGCGAATGAGAAGCATAGGTACTTCTAATTACGTGCTTTTTGCCATATATATATATATATATAAATAAATGCAGAGAGATTGAGAGCGAGAGAAAATCTAGATCGTACCATGGAATTTCCTTTTTAATTATTAATTGTCGTTTGAGTGTGTGTGTGTGCGTCGGCGAAACGGGGATCGGATTTTCAAACCGAAATCAACAATCCTAATAGTGTTTGATACAATTTTGTGCGGAATTGACGATCGAATCCAACAATATGTTGAATGAATGCCATGATTTATATCGCGTTTTTTCGCTGTCGCCCGCTTGAATCATAATAATAACCGAATTGAGGCGCAAAATATTGAATTAAATCCAATTTGCAGCACTTAACGCTTTTATTTAAATTAGATTAAATTCCAATTTTATAGCCGCATATTTAACGCAAGCGCTCGCGCGCGTTGATTATACGCGCGAAATGTAATTATATTGCCAATGTATAAAATTTGGCGTATCGATTTTATGGAAATTACACACACACACACACACACGAAATTATTCATTGTGTGTGTTTGTTGATCGTTTAAATTATGAATTTATTGAGTGAGTCACAAAGCTCACTAATGAATATTCACAGCCACTTCCAAATTGCGCCGTAAAATGTGTGCGTATTTATCATATCAGCAGCAACTATTCACATATGAATACTTTATGTATGCTTTCGACAAATCGCTTACGCCGAAGAAATGCCTCCATTAAATTGGCAACTATACGGCCCGTGATATGCTGGACCGATGCATATTCATACACTCATGCTCATACAAACACCGGGTCATATATCCAACTAAACGAATGAAGTGTTTTCCTAATTGTATTTTGTGATAAAACTTAATCCGGCCAACCATCAAAACAACATCATCATAACTTTATTATATTATCAGCGGTTGTTTTGGCCCAAATGGGGAATGTGTGCAAAGTTTGGTGTTGAGCACCATGTTTTCACCGTTGCTTAAATACCTTTTCGATGTAAGGCATCTTTACACTTAATATTTAGGAAATTTGGCATGAGCGAGAGAAGGAAAGGTCGTTCGTTTGTGCAAAAAGTCATCAGCATATTTTTGTTCTTTATTATAATATCATTGTTGTTTTTAATACGATACGTTGGGTTTGTTGCTTCTGTACGATGCAAAGAAGTTAGTTATCGTTTAGATATACTATACATTGGTCGTAACATTGAAAGCGATGAATATTATGTATAAATAGGTGTTGAGTGTGTATGTTGATTGCTAATATGATTTTTCCTCATGATTTTTTTTTCTGTCGTTTTCCGTTTCGTTTTAATAGACGTCAAACGGCTGAAGAGCGAGAAGCTGAGCGTCAGGCAGCAAATCGTTTAATGTTATCATTGCAAGCGGAGGCATTGAGCAAAGGATTTGGACCACCTCCAACAACACAGTCGGCACAAACATCAACACCTCTTGCACCGCCGTTGGCCGGACTACAGTCGCTACAGCCATGGGCCGAAGCACATCCAGCTGGCTGTTGAAGCAATGCTCACATCAACTTAGTGATGACAACAACACGAATCGCAAATTGTGAACGAGTATTAAGTAAAATATAAAAAAACAATGGTATAATATTTCTCTAGTTGTCTGCGGCAAAGTCGATGCTTGATATTTAAACAAAAATACACATAACGTTTTTCCACCGGGAAAACTGCGAAAAGTGAAGGGTGTGATAATAATCAAACTAATATGCACAAATTTATCGCTAAAGAAAAAATCCTCAACAATACCAATTAAGTAGACAGCATGAGTGCGAATTCAATGAATTTCATTTTATTTTTCACCACATTTGATGACCCAGTATTTTATGTGTTTCAATCCGTTGACTGAATGGACATTTAATTTGTGAACAATTTTTTCGATTCCGAACACCTTAGAACATTGTTGCTATTTGATGCAAAGCGACGGCAGTTTCAATCACATTATTTATCAATATTTTCTCTTTGAAAAGATTTTTACAATTCAATGGTTTTTTTTTTGTTTTTCGTTCATTGATAATTATTGTGAGAATGTGACATTAAGCAAAAAAAATATTTAGCGATACATAGCGCTTTTAAATCTATGTTTTTTTTTCCTTTTCTTTTGGTGGTAATCGTTTGAATAAAGCGAATTTTGTACATATGATCACTGACAATGGTGAATTTTTTCACGGCATCAAATCACGGAAAATTCTTAAACTTTTAGATACAAGCTCAAATGCATTTAGATCAATCCAATTAAACGTAATGGTATCGTAGTGTGAAAAGCTTTTGAATCTGCAATTTGCAACTAATTTTAAAAACATTTTCACGGTCTCGAGAAAAGAGATGAAGAATGATCGAATGAAAGAGAAACAAAATCTATTTATAAAATGTAAGTTAATGAAAGTGTTTGGCCCAGTGGTAGAGTGCTGAAATAAATCAAGCTTAATTTAAAAAGGATTTACACGAAAATTTATAAAATAAATATATTTTCATGTTGAACGTCCTTTTTCGTTTCTGTTTTCATAAATAGAGCAATTGTTTTGAGCTTTATTTCTATTTGACTGGACTGACTCATTTCGGATTTCAAGTGAAATGAAAACAAAAATCAGCAACATTTTGTATCTCTATGTGCTTTAGCGAATACTAGTTTCAACCCCACAAACTGTCACTCCTCCCAAGAATCTTTTCAAATCAACGAAAATTCCCATTTATTTAATACGGATGCAACGCTGCTAATTATTAATTAATTACAAATAGCTGATCTAATTTTAATGCAAAACACAAAAAATGCAAAATTTTATGAATAATTCTATCAGTATGTTTAAAATTTCGTAGGATTAAGAAACATTTAAAGAAGCAGCAAAAATGCAAACAAATTATCAATTAATCGGTAGAACGTAGACTGTATTGTAGATATTGTAAAAATAAACAACAAAAAAATATGCTCTCATAATGAATAAAAAAAAAACATTAAATAAATCTTAAAAAACGATTCGAAGCATTATTCTTTAGAAGTTATCCAGGCATTTCAGCGGATTGTGCATGAGGAGCGGTAATGCCGACGGTAAGTCGACACAAAGCAAATCTTTTGCTCTCACCTCAAAGAAGATGTAGCTTCTTTCCAGTAAATGAATGAAGAATTCTTCGAGAAAAATTCGTGTCATCAAATATCTTATCATTAAATTGTTTATAGAAAAAGTCCAAAGAAAAAAATTTCAAAAAAAAGAAATCGAAGCTATCAACGTAACTGAAGGAATTCTTGTGAATTTCAGTGGAATGTAATTGCATGTACGGTAACGGAATATGAGTTGCATTTGATTCTTCAGAAACTAAAGGTAATGGCGCCTAAAGGTAAGACATGCTAAATTATATTGAAAACACGAGCAAATAACGTCTGCTGTCAACAATTTAATTTCATTTAAGTATAGGATAGTAATGACATAGTATCATCATTTTTAATGTATCTTTGGAGTGCCTTTCTTTGTTCCATTAACCTATTCCAAATGTTTAACATTAGAAAACACGTGTAATGCAGAGAGTCATTTTTAAACAATAATTATAAGCGGTGTTGATGCATTTTGTCGTTTTAATTGCGAACATGTTCTCTGCATCGAAATTGTCTTTGCTTCAGCCATGTAATTAAAATTGACATGATACTACGATTTTGACTCTGTTCAATTTCAACTATAAATGACCACCGATTTTTCAAGCTGCACTCAGTCAATTGTGATCATCAAGCCCAACTTCTGTCACAATCGAATATTCGTACAAATTAATAACGAAAATCAGTACAAAATTTTAACAACAGTAGAAATAAACTTCAATTAGCAAAAGATAGAAAAAAATGCTCAAAGATTTAATTTTAGTCGCTGGTATTATTTTCACCGCTGTTACAGCCGTTGAAATACGTCGAGATGATCAGGTATTTTTAGAAGCAAGAATGAAAAATTTCATGGCAATTTAGATAGAAAATCAATTTTCAAATGAATGGTTCTAGTGGCCACCACCCGAAGTCGTTGCTATTGTTCAGCCAATGAGAATTGTGTGCCAAGAAAAAACTGGCGTCACCGACGGTAATCCCATTCTATAGACAATTTTTTTTTAATGCCTACCAATTTGAATGTGTTTATTTTTAAAACGGGCAATATTTGTTTTCTGATTTCAAAATGACAGAGGCGATCCGAGAATTTAGTGATGGTGAAATTCATGAAGACGAAGCGTTGAAATGCTACATGGATTGTCTATTTAAAGAAGCTCGGGTTGTGGATGAAAATGGTGAATTACATTTGGAAAAACTTGCCACACACATCGAAAAATTGGACGAGGAAATTCAAATGATCGCCATTCGCATGGGCAAGAAGTGCTTACGAGTAAAAGGGGAAAATCAGTGTGAAAGAGCTTTTTGGTATCATAAATGTTGGAAAACAGCCGATCCAAAAGTAATTTTTCCATTTCTAATCATAATTTTCATTATCTTTGGAATTTGAGATAAATCGCTAAAATATTGTACAATTCTTTTTATAGCATTACTTCTTGCTTTAAACACACAAAAAAAACAATCATCTAGTGAGCATTGGAAACAGTCGGCGCTTCTTGGTGTGGTTAGTTTGTAATCAAAATAATAAATTATTGTGCAACTCATTCGAGCTTAAACTACAATCTTTATGCATCTTGAATAAACGAACGTGAGCATTTCAAACAAATGACTAGTTTTTCCTTTGGAGAAATGTCTTTTCGAGCATTTTATCTCTTTATTCAACTTGCCGACGGACAATGACCATATATAGTGATGAAAAGATTGTTCAAATCGAAAGCTCACAAAACAATCTGTGTGTTAACTATATGTTGTAGGAGTATATATTCTTTGAATTCCCACAAGTCTCTTTTTATTTCATTCATTAAAAACTTCATTCAATTCATCTATAATTTGATTAATACCAAATTATCCAAAGCACGAGGTTGATCGCAAAAAAGATGTCATAAAAGTTCAATTTTACAAAGCGCAACCTACAACTGTGGGAAAATGCAAGTAATGAAATGAGTATCAAAACGACTACTAGCAAAATTCAATGATTGCAATAATCTTTGTTAATTGCCCTAACAATGACATTTCCAAACCAAAATCAACATGTGCATTGAGAACAGTTACATTGTTGCCTATTTTATGGAAAATCTTCATTAGAATTATTGTCATAAAATTATGTGCTGAAATTCAAAAACACTGAAAATATCGAACATGATTTTTTTTTTTGGTGGAAAAACGTCAATATTTTGATTATTGACGAAACGACTGTTAAAAATCAAGTGAGGTCTTGGTACATTGAACTTAGAATGTTCAAAATTCAAAATAGAAGTTCTTATTGCTTGTCTTATTTATTTCTAAAAGTCTTAAGCTTCGAAAAAACCAAGGGCGATTCACGAGCGCTTTCGAGTTCGAGTTTTTACGAGTTTTTGCGAGTTTTTGAGTTTCATATTTAAAATATAAAATGGATTTAAGAAATTTTTTTACATTCTGCAGTTGATTTGCTTGTGTATATCGTTTTATAAATTCGAGTTAAAATATCCATTTTTCAATCACTAAAGCCTAAGCAAACATCAATTTTATTCCTTACAGCTTAAAAATTATCCACTACGAATGTCAAATGCATTACAATGTAAAAAATACAAATGAAAACTGCAATTGAAATCGGACGGTGTGAGTGTTTCACGTAAATAGCACCTCTTTAATTGTTGAAGTTTCATTATTTCCCATTAGCGTTGGCTCATTTAAAATGTGACAAAGTTCATTGTAGAAAGAGTAAAAAGATATCGTTAATTCTACTGGTCTCAATTTAATAGCATCTCCTTTTCCGATTGCTGCACGAAGGTACTGTTTCAATATCTTTATACTGTGGATCGAGCTGAAAAGAAAAACCACACACTTCACATAAATTGAAATGAAAATTGATATTTCAAATGTTTATGATACCCGTTCATTTAATGGCTTGGCGATAGCGTAAACGATGCCTAACAGAAGAAATTGACACAAAACTCTCAACAAACTCATTGCACTTAACGTTTGAATCACTTTGCATGCGTCTAAATCCAAGCTTCTTCCAGTTGTTTCGATTGTGGATCGCAAACCTGAAGTGACTGTCAAATATACTGCTCGTTGCCTATCACTCAACATTATTTATATTGTCATTATTCAAATGATACTGAAATATTCAAACATATACACAGAAAAAAAATCACAAGGGCTACACTTCTTGTTTACATTTAAAATCTCGGTTTTTCTCTAACCTTTTTTGACAACAGCATTTTTGAATCGAACAACAATTGAACTCGTATAGATTTAGACAATTTTCAATGGTGCAGCAAAGAGAATTGATAGAAACTACAATATATCGAATATGGCAAATTAGTAAATGATATCGTTTATTGTCAGTGTACGATGATGTCATTGCATGACTCATTGATTCAGTTTAACGTATATTCAGCTTCTTTTTTCTTAAATGAATGCGTATTTTCGTTGAGTTGAGAATCTCAACTTGAGATAGGAACCAGTGCGACAAAAAGTTGGCTTCAAAATATTTTTGTTCCAAAAGGCGACATATTTTTTTCATAGAGAGATTCTTGTTGTAAACCTTATATAAAGATATATTGTGTCGCACTTTGAAACGAATAGATTCCAAAGCCAACTTTTTGTCGCACCGCTTCATATATGAAACGCTGTCTCATGCTCAATCATTGTTTTTGTGTCATGAGTTTCCCCTTTGTATTGAACGAATTTTTTCAGAATTTTTACTGTATTTCAACATTCTACTGGCAAAATAAAAACTCCCATTCAAATTACATGGACATGGATGATAGATACTAAATTCATATCACTTCATTCTAATAAAACTTGTTGAATAAACATATTACAATTAGATTTTCCAAATATATAAAATGGAATACATTTCAATATTATAAACAAAATCCTCAACTAAATATCAAAAACCAAAATTCTGTTTTCTTCGTGCTTTTTTGATGAAGTTAGAAATTGCGTCTGTTCATTTTGTATGCATAATCCAGGAAATTACTCAGTCGAAGCAACATATAAGCCACATTAAATCCGTGCTGTTCTTCCACCTGGGTTGTTACGTAGGCGCATCGAAAGGTTGGAAGCAAATTGCTGTAATTGTGAGCAATTAATACTATGGAATTTCTATCCTACTACTATCCTATTCAATTATTTTCAATAATTCGTCTGTTTTACCTTCGATTGACACTAAAGAACAGTTTAAAATACAACTAAACAATGGTGAAATAAATAATGATAAAGATAGAACCAAACTCACCCATTCGCAATTGGTATTTACATTTGGTGAATCAATTTAAAGTATCAGTGATTAATGTATAAACATAACTTTGAAACGGGTCAACTTCTGAATTGATGATAACGTATAAAACCTGTTATCATGATGCAACTTGATGTCGAAGTGAATAGGCGATTTGGGGTTGTAGATTTTTGATAGGTTCATGTCTACGAAACTCGTAGCCAAAAATTCTCGTTCGATAACTCTCCGTTAAAATAGAATTGTATAAAAGCGATTCTTGTACGTGTCAACAATGTGTTAATATTGTATCAATTCCCTTTTTTCAGGAGGCAAATAGATAAATTGGTATCAGCCAATCAATCAGTCCTGTTAAGTTCGATCCAAGTTCACTTTCTATTTGCCATTTGCGAACCATTTTCTCAAGTGTAGCAACTCCCCACGTAATTATCGACTTTGAAAATGTTTCACACTCGAAAATAAACTATTAAATTTTTCAACTAAAACATTTTGATTTGGATAGTATTTCGACTTTCTCCTAAGTACAACATTGAATATGTGTTATATTTGGTCGTTGGTTGAGCGAGAGAGCGAGCGAGAGCGGGAGAATTGGATGGATGTGTAAGCGATACATCGAAGGGCAAGCGTCAGATGGATCGTCGCCATCGGCGGCATAAAAGAGAAAGAGAGAGAGCCGGCACAACCGAATGAAGATAGAAGAAGAGTCGATGTGTAAAATTTCAAAGTAATCAATTATTTATGGTGGCAGTGTGAAAAGTATGTACAGCCAAATCGTTTTCTATATTAAATTCGATTAAGGAATGATGGTAAAATGGTGTTATTTTATGAGTAAAATAGACGTGTCAGCAAATGCAGCCAACACCGTATAAAATATAGATGCGAAAGAGTAACAGCTCTCGCTCTTTTCTCTCTCTCTCTCTCTCTCTCTCTCTCTCTCTCTCTCTCTCTATATCTCTCATTTGGAACTATACGATATTTTATCGTTGGCGCTGCTCAATATGCTCTATTCCATGTGTGTGTGTGTGTGTGTGTGTTCATACTTTGTGCACACAATGTTTACAAATTAAGCCATTTTTGCCGTGTCGATGCGATGAACGTAAAAGGGTTGTGGCACCGTAAAACACCAGCATACATTTCGATCATCACCGCTTTTCCACGCCAAATGAGATATCGCATCATATTTATTATTTAATCGGTGATCGGCAATGATTTGACACAAGGTACTGAAATTTAATTGGTTATTATTTCAATGCATGTGTCAATCATGTTTACGACATCGAGCTCCATCATTTCAATCAATACATTTCAATATGCGCCGAACCAAACTGAATAATTATTAAATGGTTGTGTAATCCGAATATTTGATTTGTTTGCAAATAAATTGCAAATCGCTTTAAACGATGAAAACATTTTGATTTAAGCACTTGAGATATTAAGTGTATTTTTTCCCCGTCGTTTTTAAGCGTTTGTTTATTTCGTATGTGTTTTTGTTTTCTCCATTCATTTCTGCTGAATAACGGTGAATTTGTTAAGACAAAAGCAATTTTATTCTCTGAATGGTGCCTACTTTAGTTGATTAACTTCATGAATTCCGTATTAACATGATGTTTCGCTTAAAATTCACTAGAGAGCCAATCTAAATATAACAATTCCATGCGGCAAGGGATGCCAAACAGAGAAGAAAAAAAATTAGGAAGGACAGAATCATTTATTAAAACCGTTTTGTGCCGTGTGCGCTCGTTCGCGTGCGCGCACCATGAATAGAGTAGCCGTGCAATGGTTGAATTGTCGAGGGAATTGTTTAAAAATGAAATTTGCCAACTGTTTGGTAACTTTTATTGGGTTTGCACGAATAGCCGAGATTTGACCTACAAATCAAGAATAATGAATCCAAATTCGCAACGTTACCTTAATTTTTCTTTTGCGTTCATTTTCGAAAGAAAAATGGCTGTTTCGTGGCATTTGTTAGCTAGTATTCGTTCGTAATTTCGTCATTTTCGTTGAAGCTGCAAAAAAAACGAGTCTCGTTTCGTCGGTAAAAATGAGCAGAGCACTTGTTGTAAAGAGGTAATGAGGATTACAGTTATGTTCTCAGAAGTCATGATGCATTGATGAAATTTTTGCGCTGTGGTCACGTGCGACTGAATCATTTGACGCTTGCCAATTCAATGCACTTGCATACGCACACGCACATACACAGGCCCAATGCGAATGAATATCAAATTATATCCGTGCGTTATGCGTGGGGAGGGCCCATTCATAGTGGCTTTCACGCCATGGATTCGTGCGGGAGAATAGATCAAATGAAAATGTAATTGTATTTTAATACAATTAAATAATTTTCGTTGTGTATTGTTCATCGAGCACGCATTCAATCGCTCTCTCGCTTCATTCGCATACATAATTCGGTTCTCATGATTCACTGAAATGATGTGAATGCCCATGGGATCGATTATCCTGTTTATGAAATTTCTGTATTTTTATTTTTGTCGGTTGACGAACGATGCTTGGCACTCCACATGCCCATTCTGCGTCTACCAAAACAATACACATCAATAAAATTGTGCCTCTCCCCGTGCCACCATTCACATTCCACACACACACGCGTAATAGAGACGTTGTCGTCGTTTTGTGTCGGCTTATGATCTTTTGATAAATCCATTACTAGACATGAATTGAAAAACAAGTGCACCCAATACATGTGAGGTGGAAATGAATAAGGCGGGTAGTAGCACCCATCAACTGAAACCAAATACACACATTTAAATAATTGTTCTCTGATGGTTAACGTGCCACGTGAAGACCCACTTGATTGCTGCGAAAACGACAACGATCGCTGCTTGCACAAAACAACGCCGAAGAGAAATGTTACACCAGCATCGGGGCCAGAACAAGAGAAGAGATCGAGAGAGTGAAAAAAATGAATATGTTTTTGTTATTGTTTGAACTCATCTTTCGATGAACAGGCGCGCACAGCGCACACACATATACGCACGTATGATGCGAGCGCCGAGATTATTTGTGCGAACCACCAGGAGAAAGAGAGAAAATGCGATACCGTGTGTTTCCGTATACGGTTACCGATGCTCTTTTCATCCGCCGAAAAATACTTGGTATACGTCGGCGAGAAGGGGCTATAATTAATTTACGAGAAAGACATAGGGAATGAATTTTTTTTTTCGGACGAACACCAGAAGTATCACTGCCTCATTCGATGCTAAGGCTTTATCTGTAATTCATTCGTGTGTACCGACCAAAAACGTTAACTTCATACTCGTTCATGTTCTGAGGCGTGAGACTACAACTACATATACACATCACATGCGACTTTAGGCACGTCATTATTTCTTCTTCATTTTTTTTTCGGTTAATTTTTTTCCTGGGTTATTCACGTTGCACGACGTTTTGCCAAAATGTCGCGTTCTGTACGCTCTTTCGAGAGTGCTGGCAAACACTTTGCCATGGACGTCGGCTGCGAGATTGTTTTTTTTTGCATGCATCAAATTTGATTGGACTTTTTGTATATTTATGAACACATTCGCACAAAGTAACCTTGCAGCCAAAATGTCCGCTTTATGTAATTGCTTGTTTCAGTCAATCAAATGTAGTATAACCCAGAAAATTGTTTGATGGCGGCTGGTTTTCTTTTTCATCTCTCTCTCTCTCTCCTTCTCTCTCTGTAGAAAAAATTATCAATTGAAACTAATATGGAAATCCATCACAAATAGCTACGTTGACTTTGTTTTAATGTAGCCGATTGATAAATACAAAATGACCGTTCTGGTCGGTTCGAGGCGAATCGGAAACCGAGCAAAGCCCACAATCACGTTGAGAGTTTTATATATGCGGAACCACACACGAACATTGTATTTGGTCGGTGTTTGTTTATTTATCTTGATATTGACCGACCGACCATTCAAATGACCAGCCGATCGCATTCGATCTCTCAAAATAGGCAAATTATTCAATAAAGCAAATAGTCATTAGCGAACAAACGGTGTAATCAAAATGAAACCTTCTAATTATAGTCGGTTCAATTAAGGATTAAATGAGCCAAATACAAACAAAATCAACGATAGCATCATCTGGTTGTGATTGCTTATGTGTGTGTGTGGATTGAACGAAAAAAAAAATTTGGCAGGTAAACCTTAATCTATCGGTTGAATGTTGGCCTTTAATCATTTCACCCCAGCATACAAATTCAGATATCCAGATACCGACAGCAAATTGCATCGATTTGTTTGTGTGTATGCGTGCGTGCGCGCATCCAGATCCGTTCATATTCAGTTATTTTCATTTTTAATATTTCCGGCGCTTATGTCAAATGCTGCCGCAACGGTCTGATGCGCCGACCGAAATTTTTTCTGACGGTAAGAATACTGCGGCTTCAAAATAAACTACAATAAATAAATGATGATAATTTCGATCGTTCGATCACATCGGTCTTTCATCAAAATCGGCCAAAAAGCTGTTATAGGTTTCCGATTATCACGGAGCACAATGGCCGCAAAATGTGTATTTAAAATTGCATACGGATTTCGATGAAGTACTAATATGTAAGTTCATCAACTGTTTTCAATTTCAGTGGCAAACAACACACACACACACACAATCCTACTCGGGCCATCAACAGCAGGCAAAGAACAACGAAATGAGATATCACTTATGGAATACGACGGTTTATGGAAAAAAGGAACATCAATCATTCCCCGAAACAGTGATTATTATCCATTGATTGATTTTTAAAAACACACCATACCGTATGAACGAGGAGTCAACCACCGAATGGAACCTCATCATTTTGCTATATTTTTGTTGATATTCATCAGCGAAAAAGACCGCCTTCAAAATAATGAAAGAAATAATGAAGTGGGACAATAACCTTCGCCGTATTTGGCATATATATATTTTTTTTTGAATAAAATGAGTTTTGAATGCTCCTTTCATAGAAAAACATATTATTTTCCGCTCTAAAGTCGCACAAGTCGATCATCACCCAATTTCTTTTCAATTTTCTTGAAATTTTGACACATCTTCAACATATGGCATATCAACTATGATGCTTTTTAATAAGCCATCCCAAAACTTAAACACATTAGAAGATCCTTAAAAAAAACCTTACGAAAAAAGGCTGTCATTTTATTTCAGAAATGAAAACAAGAGTGTCTGCCAGTTTGTGTGCAAAAACCTCAAAATGTGAACTTAATTTAGCGTACGAAAATTCAGTCAAAATAAAATTGGATGTCGTTCGAATTGATTGGCTGTTGCATGAGACATACATGTGTACAATTCCCATACCATGCTGTTTTGGTAGTCGATGACGCCGATTAACTTAATCATCGCAAATCCCCTGTGCTATGCAGATGATTAAATCGAATAAAAATTTAATCAATAAAATTGTTGTCGTTGCTGAAAAAAAGAACGTTCTTTCCGCCATGCGATTAATTGTACCGTAGCACATGTCCATGCCGTCGCATCCAAGCACTCGAGATAGACAGAGAGGCAAAGAAAGAGTGAGAGAGAACGATCGTACCGAGGTTTTTATTTCAATTACGGTCATCATACTGGAAATTGTGAATTGCTTGCAAATTGTTTGGCAGACAACCGAAACACACATCTCACTCACTCACTCCCCATGATATCATACTCTCGCTCACACAGAATAGATACACACACATACACAAACCCATACGCGCGCGCGCTCAGTCGCCGTGTCGAGTGGAAAAAAAACCTGCTGCAACATATTGTTAACATTAGGCCATTTAACTTATCACCCCTCTTAACAATTTAATCCTGTAGTGAAAACGAAAACCAAACACACTAAATTGAAAGATGATTCGATACCCAAACAAATGAACAAATGAACAAAAAGAACAACAAGATAAATAACAATGGCCCAGCGAGCACACAATAGAATCGTTTGGGAAACAAACAAAAAAATTTTAAAAGTGGAAGTGCAATGTGACGTGCTGTGCGTGTACGGCGAGTAGTTCATTCGGCGGTAACAAGACTATTAAAGTTGCATTAACGACTCTGAACGAGGGGAAAGAGGGAGAGTATGAGACAGACACACACACACTAACACACACATATAAAGAGATCAAATGCAGAAATCAACTGACGAAAAAATGTCAGCCCAACCAAATGCAATTGTTCCGTAAACGATGACGATATATACGTACTAGGCGCATTCACTTTCGATTCAATTGATCCGGTGGCATATGAAACACCGAACGAATTATTTTCTCACCCTCGGAAATGAACGCATGAGTAGTACGGTGTAGTAGTACGCTGCAATTCATACATTTGCGTATTTATATGCAACATCTTCTATTAATCATATATAGTTTCAGTAGGTAGTAGATAAATTGAATGACATTTTGTTTCTCGATGCACTTATAATATTGTGATTTGCGACAAACGAAAATAACTTCCACATGCAACTTTAATTGAATTGTTTTTTTTTTTTCAAATTCCCGTTTTTTCGGAATCCACTCATGAACAATGCGCATTAACATCAGGATGCTGTGGTTCACCACATCCTTCGGACCTATGTAATGCATCGTTTATGTATTTTATTGGGAATAAACACAGAAAATTTGAATTGTTTTTTTTTCGCAAAAAGCCACGGTTTTGATTTTCAATACCATGATACCAAGACTTGGTAACCAAGCCGGCCAATTCATTTATTACATTTGAATCAAAACACATAAATAGATATGTGGACTGACCGCCTTTATCACTTCTACAAAGATTGTTCAACGCATTTCATGCAATCCGTTATGTCAAGAATGACTGTGTTTGCAATTTTCCTGTTTTATCATTGGAATTTCATTTGCAACGAATGAATCTTGACATGATTTCATATGCTTGGATTCTTTTACAAAAAAAATAATGAACAAAATGAGTTTGAACTTATTACCCCATTCAGCAACGGTGAAACGAGTGTTTTGTTCGAAATGGTCAGTGGTCGATGGTAGAAATTGGTTGTATATTGATTGCTAAACCGCAAATTTTCAACAAGTAATCGTAGATGTGTGAAACATATTGATCTGTTTCACGTGAAGTATTTTGCTCTGTTTGTGTGATGGAAACAGCACAAATAGTTAAGGATTTAGCAATCAAATCACCGGAAATTATTAACTTTGATCATGAACAAATTCACCTAATTGAAAATGTCTGTTGATTAAAGATTGTTTTTGCTATGTAGCGTTGTCCTGAATTTCCTAACTCGTGTGTCTATTGCGTTATTCCAACGCATCTGTAGCAGACAATTCATTTTATAATGCAACCACAATTCATTTGGAATTTTGTACTATAGACACGTTTCCAAGAATTGTAATTCATATCGCATTGGCCTATGAATGCCAACGGGTTTCATTCGTTCTGTCAAGATGTTGATAATACTAAAAAAAAAATTCTAACCAATTTTGTATCAATAAATTGATGAAAATTTCGTAAGTTTTACAAATATAAAAAAAATTCAATATCAAAACAAAAATTTCAAAATCATTTGCAAATAGAACGTGAGTTTCAATTTGAATTTATGAATTTGATATGTAATTTCCGTATCAAAATACATATGGACAGTCGTTTTGATAATATCTGTGTCCCCCTTTCGACTATTTCTAAAATTTATCTTTCCTACCATAAACTGAAACCGTTAGAATAACTATCGAATGTCCCTTTGAACACTTGCCCTCTCGTTGCATCGTTCTATATTATGGGAATATTTTTCCGCTGCGAAGTGATAAAATTTTATGTGTGCCGTGTGTATTGGTATCAAATGACAGCAATCACTTCAGAACAAGTAAAAACAAGGCAGTGAGTTGGATCAACCCTCTTTCCCCTTTGAAACAGAGACATAATAAATATCACAGTCATCCGAAATGAATATAACCAGTTCTCATTCAGTGTGTGATCATGTTGAGATTTTTTTTTTCTTGCTGCCGTAGTAAACAAAGATTGTATCTATATGTCAGCAGCCACCGTAACATTTAGCCCAAAACTAACTTGTCATGACAAATTGGACATCCACTTAAGCTACAAATAAATTTAAACTCACGTCATTTCATCACACTGTTGCTATCTTCTTTTTTTTTTTATTGGAATAAACACAGAATCTCGGAGATTCGTTTCAAAATAGCAATAGCTTTGATATTTAGTTAAATATTATTTAAAGAAAAATACGAGTATTTCACATTAAAATGCACCAATAAATAATTAGTCTTTGCAAACATTTAATAGATAAATTCTTGAACATTTAACCCACACTCACAATTGCACTCGCTGATAAAATATTTGTGTGTTTTTTTTTTGTTCAATTTTGGCTTCGGTCAAATAACAATCATTTCCAATTTTTAGATGGTGTTTTTCGCATTCCGTTCCAAACGGTTGTTTTCTTAACCAAACAATGCCCGTTTGTATCGATCACTCAAATCCAGGCCATTTGGTGATGATGACGACTCAACGGAACCGTACGGGGCAGCTGGCACCAAATCAGAATTATCATGCTTAATCTGTGGCCGTTGATAGAATGCAGCTGAGTGAATTTGTTGCGGATTCGTTGCGTAATCATGAGCGATAATGTGAACCGACAGAGGATTGCCGTGCGCTAATATTTCGGATAAGTAGAACTGCCTGCGAGAGAGAGAGAAAGCAAGAGAAAGACAAATAGAGAGAGAGAGAGAGAGAGAGAGAGAGAGAGATACGACGGAAGAGCAGAGAGAAAACAAAGTTGACGTTTGAAAATATGAGGGCGGTATTTCGGAATTTACAGATGTTTTTCGCTTACTTGCATATATCGGGTATGTCATCAGAATGGTCTGCTGCTTTAGAGCTTGATGTTCCAGATCGCTTAAAATTCAAGAAAACGAAAATGTTCTGGTTTCAATCACACAAGAATAACTAGAACACACTTACTTTTCCATTCACCCAGCCACGTGAATATTGAAATGTCTGGGCCACTGAACACGAAATCAGCGCACACACCAATATGATGATGGATAACTCTGATTTTGATGCCATATCAATTCTTTGGCATTGATGTCCGGATGAAAATAAATGAAAAGACGAAAACAAATAAACAATTGAATTTTTTTCCACATTTTTTTTTCAACCGTTGAAAGGTTTCACAAATCCAATTCAACTTCGATACGTTCAAGAGCTTTTTTGCTCGTCGCTGCTTCCATCTGTTAGCAGCATTGCAACTTACAATTGTACACAATATTTTTCTTTATTCGAAACAATAATTCCATACAGATTTCTACAATGTTTTTGATTTGCTTGCAAATTTTAAAGAGAAAAAAAACGCAAATTTTCGTTTAATTCAAATTCTGTTCTTGGATGTTATCGATATTCTCGGCGCAGAGTGAATGATGTATTGCGACCGAGAAGCATGGCTTTTATAGGTTATTGGAGGCTTTTTTCGTTGAATTAATTTGAATAGAAGAGTAATTAGATACGTGGAAGAATAAGGCGAAACAGTTCCCTTTGATGAACGGTTGTCAGCAGTTTCAAAGGAGCAACCAAGACAACGGAATGTTTTCAGTGAAGTAATCCAGTGTGTGTGCGTTTGGTGTGGGCTTCGTTTTTGTAATTAATTCTAATCAAAATCAATAAATTAGTATCTAATTATTGTGCTTTAGAATTTTTTTTTTCTTCATCACCACTCAAGCCAAGTGACGGAGAGAGTGCGTTTGTGTAGTATTTGCATGGAAGATTGGTAATTGGCCTTTTTGGTAAGACATTGAGTTTTCTAGCTACGTAGAGCGCTCTGTAATTAAATTCTATCTCGCATAAGTGCAATTGAGTATCTCTTCGCGGCCGACTGATGACTGTTCGTATCGTGTACCACAAAGCAGACACAATTCATATAATTGACAGTTCCTTTTTCCTCAAACCCGTTTTCTTTGCTAGACGAACACAATGATAACAGAGAAGGAGGGAAAAAAACTGTGCACACGGCACATATGCAACACAAATACGATTCGATCTTTAATTTATAGTTAACACATCATTTCACAGTTCGTTGACAGTGTATCAGATCTTTTAATGTAATCCGACATCGATGCACTCGTTCTTTGTTTGCAAGATTCAATGCTTGTTTCCATTGGAAAAGACTTGTTTTCTCAGTAAATACAAAGAATGATAGAGATTTTCAATTCAAAATAAATGAAGCCAAGTTGTTGTTGTTGTTTTTTTTTTCTCATCAAAACTTTTATTCATTTTTGATTCATTGACGGCATGTTTGAGTTACACATTTTCTATGATCAATGCCAATCAGCCGTGATGATGGCCATAGCCGCCTCCGTGTGGGTAGCCCTGGTGACCATAGCCTTAAAATGAAATTAAAAATGACAAAATGTTAACTTGAATTTGTTGATTGAATATGAAACTTTCGGTTCATCGGATGTATTAAAAATTTAAGCGTTAAATACAATTTCATTTTCGAATGAAATATTCACAAAGAAATAATTTCATGTGTCTAAAAAGTAGTTTCAACGCTTTCAGTTTTTAATAGAGTTGAAAATCCAATTTAATACTGTTAACAATCAAATTCACCTCCATATCCTCCATGGCTGTGATGTCCGCCCCAAGATCCGCCATAACCTACAAAATAATCGACAATTAGGCCTATGCGTTACTCCAAGTAACTTTAAAAATTTGAAGCAAATAAATCGATAATATTAATGCGGATAAGTGATTATGTTTGAGGGATGGGTTCCCAATTGTTCTAATTTGTTTGTCAAACTTTTGTGGAAATATCGATTTTGTATTGTATTCGAAATGTTCATCACCTCCATATCCACCGAATCCGCCAACTTGTCCAAAATTGCCGCCGTATCCTAGAAAATATTCATAAATAAATGAAAATCCATACCAACAATATTTCTAACTTGGAATTGAAGCAAAGCGATTGAAACGAAATTGCAATTGAAACATTTATCATTCCATATGGTTTGGTTTAAATGTTAATCCAATAAAAATGATTCGGAATAAAGTATTATAACAAGTAAAGAGCTAAGCATATAAAATGAAATGGGTAAAATACCACCAAATCCGAAGTAGGGATAAGAACCATATCCTGAAACAAAATCCCAGAAGATTTGCATGAAACAATTCACCAAAGCGATAGCAACGAAACGGTTAGCTATTCTTACCACCATGACTAAATTGTCGGCCGACATTCGATTCGGCCGTCTTAAGATCGTCCACAACAGCGGCTGGCACTAGTTCCTCCTCTGGTGGCTTAGCCACCGTGACCGTTGCAGCAATGCACACACCCACAACAACAGAGATTATCAAAATTTTCTACAACAACAACAACAACAAAAAACCATTTTCAATACCTTTTTAAAACGAACAAAAACAGAATAAAATATCGATTGCACAACTTACACTCCACATTTTAAAAATGTAACCTTTTGAATGGTAAAGAAACGAACAAATTGTTTAGCACAAGAGTGTCTCTTATTGTCTTCGGAGCGTCGACAAAGAACTACCTATTGAGTCATTGAATGATCGTCCTTTTATATTAAATCCATGTGTAGCGAAAAAAAGTATTTCATGTTCTTTTTTTCGCAATTCGTTAGCAGAAAAAAGAAATCCGTTGAGCGATGATGTTGTGTCCATTTCTTAGGCTTCGGCGAATCATAGCCGCAAGCGATTCTTAGGCATCAAGTACATGCGAACAGTGTAGAACTAGTTTTATTTTTCGTTTTGCTGTAATTTATGCGATGGTGAAACGAGTTTAGAATTTCAAGTGATAAGAAAATCTGTGCAATTAAAGATGCGTCAGATGCATAGTTTATCGAAAGTTAAATAAAATGCATAGATGCGTATTGTTACGTCCGTAGAAATCCCCCCATTTTTTTCTTGCTTATTCTTCTCCTCTGTTTTGTTCTTTTCGAAAAACTCGTTTCATTCGCACATTACAGGAATACAAACCCATTAATGCGTTTAATTGTTTTGTATATCGTTCCATCAGAGATTAGACATTGGTAAAGCCGGTATATCTTATTTGCATGCAAATGCATGAAATAATTATTATGAGAATATGCAGGCGTCTTAGATTTAGAACCATTTTATAGACGCCGACCGAAAGCCGCTCGAACAATGAAGCGGCAATTTTTCTTCAGTCACCACCGACGTGCAATGAAATCGAGAGTTACAGTTAAAGCAAGACGATGGTGAAAAAAAACCCATATCAATTGGTATTCATCTCTTATGCTATTAATTCTGTGTAATTTTTCAAATACACAATAATCGAGCAATTAATTAAAATGTCGCGCATCTACAATTCTATGGTCAGGCCCATTTTTTATTTCAGTTTTTTTTTTCAAATGACGTTTTTTTTCATTCGATTTTTATTTTCATACCACTGAAAGTCGTCAACAAAAAAAAAACGAATGAAAAAAAACGGAGATAAAAAAGACTCAAAAACAAAAATAAACCAATCTAAAAGATACCATCAAACATTTTCCATTCTTTTATTCCTCCATCATTTATCGGTATTATTGAAAGTATAAAAATAAACACGGATTCAAACGGAAGAAATGCAGTCTCCATATGATTGCATCGCACTGCATTGTCGATTTTGTTGTGATGAATGTGTCGGCAAAATGCGGCACATCATGAATGGCAAATGTTGCATTTGACGTGAGTGAACATTTTTTGACATATTCGTGGCAGAGGGCGCAACGAATGCGTCCAGTGAGCGTACACACATTTACAGCGAACAGCGACAGAAAATGAAAGATTTATAGAGCACAAGGGAAAAACATTTTGTCGATATTGAGTTGTGCGTTCGCGTTTATTTTTTTTTTGTTCTCTTCTCGTGTGTGTGTTTAAAAAGTAAAATAAGAAGACGAAAAAAAAAACCAGAAAATGATTTTTCATATTTGAAATTGTTGTGTTGGCTTTCGTTTTTGTTTCAATTCCATCAACAAACAGAAAACCGTAAGAGACTTATCGATCGCCGAATGGTATACATTTTGATATTTTGTGCGAGTTCTTGACTTTTATATTTTTTCGTTGCTTACCATACAATATTTTTTTTTCGTTTGTTAAAATTTCCTTTACGTTGAATACTACTGCTGCTGCATGAATTGCGCTTGTGTGTGCCGGCTACTCGTGTTGCACAGCGAGAAAAAATCAAATTGAGCGACGATTTTCGAATTGAAAATTGAACGAAAAGAAGAAAAAAAAAAAACAAAAACACAAACCGAAAGCAAAAAAAAGCGAGAGAAAGAGAAAGAACCCACATTGATAGAAAGAGAGAGAAGATATATGTATGAAGTTTGAGAGAGAGAGAGAGAGAGAGAGCCGATATAAGAGAGTTCATACGAAGGGGGCCACCAAAAAAACGGCAGCGAATTTCAGTATTTAAGGCATTTGTCGAAAGTAAGTGTGCTTCGAAAAAAATATTGTTGATATATGATGTCGGAACGCAGAACAATCAAAGTGCATTGTGCATTGAAACCGTACATTTTCTGATGATTGTTTCATTGCTGCAGTTGTCGTCGTCGCTGTAGCCGCCGTTGTCGATGTTGTTGTTGTTGTTGTTGTTTTTTTTCTCCGACCGTTCATTCATTTGCGGTATTGCGTTCCTTGTGGTATAATTTTAATCGTTTCTGTTTAATTTGGTTTGAGCACGTCGTGCAAAGTTATGCTATCGCAGCATTTATTGCTTAATATTCGTTGCTCAGTTGCTTGTTGTTTCGATTCGATGTAAGTGAATTTCAACTACTTTGTTCCGTGCGCCCACCGAAATCTTTATTCACCGAACAGAAAGCAGAAGAAGAAGAAGAAGAAGAAGGAAAAAAAATAAAAGAACTGCGGCTTGCATTCGAATGTGTGTACACACTTACTATCTCTCGTTACGCGCTCAACAATTTTTTGAATATGAACGAAATCGAAAATGCTTCCAAAAAGCAAATGCCTCGTTTTTTTTTATTGAGCTCTGGATGATTTAGTTGGGTCGTGCGAGTGTATCGAATCAAATATTCTTTACAAAATGAAAGTTAACACTCGTGTCGAATGTGTGAGTGTGAATGTTTGGTTTTCGACGAATTGTTTATGCATCATCACATTCTGAGTGTTCAAAACAAAAATAAAATTTCATAAATGACGACGCTTCAATTTGCCGATATTCCAATTGGATTCCATCTACTTCAACTATATTCTCCCAACTAAAACTGAACACTAAAATAAACAAATCATAACAATAATTAATATCAAAAAAGAAGAATCAACTTGAGAATAGAAAGAGAGAGAGAGAGATAGAGAGGGAGACGAAAGACATACAAAGAATAAACGAGCCGAAGAATTAGCCTTCGATTTGCGCACACTGTGTGTGTGTGTTTCTTTTTTATTTCTATATATAAATTAAAATTGTTCATGTTTCATGTATGGCTCTCTCGAATACGGATATGCTGCATTGAACGATAAGCACACAAATAAGTGTGCATTTTGCCGTTGTTCGGAACAGAGACTCTAACCTACATTTTACAAATGTGTTGTAATAATTTGTAAGTCGTGTGTATCCGAACTGAAAACGGAGAGCTATTGATTGAAAAGACATTTTATGAAAAATTAAGACTTTTTTAAACATTTGCCACTACTTTGAATCGTGTGCTCTGTCGGTCTCATGCGCTCTCTCTCTATCTCTCTTTCTCTCGCACTCAATCGCGGGCCAGTATGTGCGATTGTATTGTTGTATTTCGAATTGTATTGTATTGTATCGAATGCGATACGACGAATGAGTCGGCTAACAATGTGTGTCTGGTCATATGTGTGTGTTATAATATTATATCGCGTGTACAGACGCTCTCAACAATTCTCTAATGCCGCAGTATATTTATGAATCGTTTGACACTATTAATTGTACATGGCGAGTTTGACGATATGATATTGTGTGTGTGGCATGTGTGTCTGTGTCAAATGAATAATCGTAATTTGAGCAGTTGCCTCCTTATTATTTCTTCTCTCTCTCTCTCTCCCTTTTTTCTGTTTCTTGTGATTCTGTATTTTGTCAAACTGAATAACAGAAAAACAATTGTTGTTTGCTTTTTCTTTTCTCTTTCGTACCATGTGCTTTTCATCATCCAGCTCCATTGCGGGAAGTGAACGACTGACTTTTTGACTGACGACCACACGCGCAGCCCAACATCATTCCATTCATTTGTGCTGCAGTGGGAAATAGCAAAATGGATAATGAAACAAATCCCAGTGAAAATGATGCCGAAGTGGTTGAATCGTGTGTAAAAATCAATGAAAATGGATGCGACGAACAAACGGATGAAACCGATGCAGTGACTGAATCGGAAGATAAAGACGAATCCGAAGTGGAAAATGTATCCGAAAATAAGACAGAAGAAGAGGAGGAGGAGGAAGAGGAAGAGTGTCCGTCACCGAAGGAATCGTCGCCAGTTGATGAGGCGCCAAGTGAAACCGATCAATTTGCTGTGATTGATTCAGATCCATCAGAGAGTAGTCCCGAGAAGGGAGCCTGCATTGTGTCATCACCATCCGAAACGGAACATGAAGAATTGGGAAACGACAAGAGCTGGAACCAGCTGGAGAATGAAAGTAGCCCCGAAAAGAGTCAATCTGAAGTGGCTTTTGAAGCGGCTTGTATCATATCATCACCATCCGAGGCGGAAATGTACGAATCGGCAAATGAAAAAACCTGGGGCCAACTGAATGAATCGGTGAGCGAAGGCATTTACGATGAAGCCGAATTAGAAGATTCCATTGACGATGAAGCCGAATCGGAGGACGATGAAATGGAAAATAATTATCGACCCAGTCAAAAAGTGGTGTACCAAAAAAAGGAGCGCGAAAAAGAACAAAAACCGGCAGCCGAATGCCCAGTATTCGAGCTAACCGATGACAATTCAAGCGTCGACGATGTACGATCCGAAGTGGACGATGACATTGAAGGCGATGAAATGGGCGAAGAGGAAGAAGATTCGGGTGAGTAAAGACTTGAAATACTGGCTCTGTCTCTCTCTCTCTCTCTCTCTCTCTGTGTGTGTGTGTGTGTGTGTGTGTCTGCCCCCATATTTTGTTGATTTACTAATTCACATTTATTTCGATCGTTTAGATTACAGCGAAGTTCATAATATCGATGACAGTGATGATGAGCCATCATACGTTGAGGAACGGAACATTCAAAATGTACGCCAATTACCACCAACAGCATCATCATCATCACACAGTGCCAAGATCGATGTTAAACTACCGATCAAATCATACGATAATGAACACACCTTCGATGAAGATGCTAAATTCGGAAAACATTCAGCGGCACGAGTCAGCAGCGGTAGCAGTAGCCAGTGTCGAAGTTATATAAAAAGTATGCTTCAAAATCAGAGTGCCTCAAAACTTCAACGATATTTGGCTGTTAAAAGAAGTATAAAATGGTATGTATGTCATTTACGATTCCCTCTTATTCAGTGTTCGCCCGAAGAAAAAAAAATTCGGGAGATCAATGTTGGCCGTCTATTACACTCACATACATTCGCACGCACCAAGTGTAGCGTTTCTCGGTCGTGTTAAACCCAAAAATATGCATACATTTTCTATCAAAAACTGTGGCATTTCAATTGATGGCTGCTGTTTCGATACGATTTCAAAGCGATTCCCATTGAATCCTCTCTCGCACTCACAAATTGCTACAATGACTACACCAACTGTAGACGTAGTAATAATGAATTCGACCTTATTTTTAGAACAGCGACCGTTGTTGTAATTACTTTATCATTTCCATTTTCATTTTGTGCATGTATTTGTGTGTCACTTTTCTCAATACGTTTGATTGGCGCGCTGGTGTATATGTGTGTATGTGCACATCAAATAAATTTCTAACGACCGAACTATTTTCATCGGATTCAACAGAAGAAGCAGAAAAAAGAGTAAATTTATTTATTTGATATTTTCATTTGCTTGTATCATATATTCATATGCGAAATTAAGATGTTTAAGCGGCATATGATGAATACGAAAAAGAAGACGTGGAAGTAGAAATAGAAAAAAAAACACAATCTTCACACATCGAAGACACCAAAACCCGACAAACTGCATTCGAAGTGTGTGCTGCTGCAGTTCATTCAATTTGCAAGTTTGTTTTGCAAACAAAAGAAACCCATTGCAAAAGTGATTGCACGCTGCAGACAACAGAGATACGATACGAACATTCATTTTCTTGCCTGCTCACTCTCTTTTCTCTCTCTCTCTCTCGCGCGCGCGTTCTCCGTTGCTTTCGACGCGAACACAGAAAAGAACTATAATTTTTCGTACAAGTTGCACATTGAGAGAGCGCGCGCAACGAAATAAAAAAAAAGAAAAAGAAGAAAACTTAAATCAAATAGAGGATTATGAGTCAAGGTTTTTTGTATTTGCGTTCAATGTGTTTATTATACCGAGGTCAGCCTCACACAGCGCGCAGCTTATACGGCACCACAACACGGGCATATACCAACCAAAACACTCAGTACTCTCGCACACTCGAAAATATTGTAGATTTCATATAGATTTTCTATACGTGAAGTACTTAATGAAAATGAAAATGTACGAATTAACAAGAGAACAGAAAATAACATAGAAGAAATCAGTACACAAAGCACACGAGTCAAAAGAATAACACACAAAAAAACAACAAACACAATATGGAAAAATAAAGCTCAATAACTGGCATGGCGATGCATCGTATCGGTCGGTCAGACGGACGGTTGGGCGGTCGGTGTGAGTGAGCATTTCTTAATGGTTATTATCATTTGATTTGATATTTCTAAACAAACGATATATTGACTGTCGTACATGGAAAATCCATACGATCCATGTCTGTCTTCGTTGCCATTGCAATTGAGAATGCAGTTGATATTTCGCCAAGTTCGATTCTCGAACCATTGCGGTACATTGGACCACGGCGTAAAAACCCAAAGTAATAATTCTAACTTCGACAAACTAAGCAAACGCATGAGACATATTGGTTTTATTTAAAATGCAATCAGCACAATAAGTTGTGTTATCAATTACCCATCGCATTGAAATGCAGCCGCGTACGCTGTAACCGTCGACATCGTTGTTGTTGCAGTCATCGTCGTCGTTGATGTCGTCATTGCTTATAGTCGATTGTAGTGTCGAGACTGCACTTCATGATTAGCTCAACATTGCCGATAATAAGTGTGTTCGAAGACAGAGGCTACCTTGTTAATGTTCCCTTTTTCCCCCTTCCAACACTTCCAATCCAAAAATAAAGCAATTTCGAGTGAGAAAAAAACAGATCGCGCGTCGCTTCAATGTCGAATTAGTATCTCATTTTGCATAGGATTTTTCGATCGAATGCACACAACTTCCAAGTGGTCTTACAATTCAAACATGCTTATCACGAGGAAAAAAAGTGTGTGTTTGTTGCGGAGCATCCTCAATGTGCGCCCATTCGATATCGAGTTTCGATATTTAAAAAAAAAACACTCACACCGAACGTCTGCTGCTGTTGGGCCTGCACACAATATGTTCACAGGTACAATATTTAACGTATGATCATTGATCACAATCATTGACCATAAAAATCAAACGATTTACGAGACGATGTGATGTGACCACCATGAAAATGATGATTATAGTTGCATGCTCTCAATGACACTTAGTTGCATTTCAACGAAATGAAAAAAAATCGCAAGAAAAAAAATAACAACAACACACACACACACACACACACACAACTAAACAGCGGCAAAGCGAACGAAACAAAAAATTAACTAAAGCGAAAGTCATGCAAGATTATTCATCGATAGAGCGATTGTGAGTGAGTTAGAGAAAGAGAGAGATACCTGTGGACGTGTACTCTGCTATTTGGCATTGACACAACACACAATCTCAATGAAACTGTTGCGAAAGCAGAAGCTCGGAATTGCACATTTCATCAACGGCTCGACGCACCGTATGGGTGCCAAAGTGGTAGTAGTAACAGTAGCAGCAGCACTTTTAGTGTGTTGCAGACAAAAATCAAGTATTCGATCGGCTTGTCTTTTGCCGCATCAACGGGCATCAGAAAAACAATGTGCCAATGTGAATAAATGTTGATTCCATGCTGATACATTTCATAGGCAACAAATCGGATTTAGAACAGCAGCGGCAGCAACAACAACAGCATGCCAAACCCAAAGGAGCATTCATGATAGTAATCGCATTTTAATATCACATTGAATGGCACACAAAGTGATTCGCTCATTCGTTCGTTCGCTGTGCTCTCGATGCGCATGTATTTGATTCACAATATCATGTGGCTGTGTGTTGAACAATCGTGTTTGCCATTTTTGCTGCTGTTGTGGTTTTTTTTTTCGTTATTCACTTCTATTTTATTCTTGAAATGACCTTGAAATATACTGCTCGCCGAGCACACTTTTCCATTTCGATACGATTTAATTGTTTTGAACATTGATGTCAGTAGTTTGAATCGCGCAATGCAATTTTCATTATAGTTTTTTTTTCATTTTCCTTCAAACGACCGATTGCAAGTGGCATTGCATTTCAAAAGTGTAGTGACATTTGAAACAAATTTTCACAGTGAGCTAGCAAGTAAGCAGTAGCGCGCCAAACCAGCCAGCCAGCCAAGAAGAAAGTTCGTTCAATATTCAACGAGTTCAACTAGAGAGAGTGTAAAAAAGAACAATATTCGCGATTTTTCGTGTTCGTTTCCCGAAAAATACACTGCACTGTGCTCTCTATGTCTTTCTCTCTCTTGCTCTCGCTCACTTTCGCTCGGGCTTCTCGGGTTTATTTACATTCGGTGAACTCTCAGGTTAGAAACCTCGTGAAATTGTCAGATTGTTAATATTGTATCCGTGAAACAGTTTTACAATTCATGGGGAAATTTCGTGCGTATGCAAATACTTGACGGAATTGGGGCATTGCATACATAGATCAGCTTACAAGAACCAATTGTGTGTGAGTGTTTCTTTTTTATTGTTGTTGTTATTCGTGCTCTTATCACACCCTTTTTTCTCCACACTCACTTTGAATTGGCCGCAGAGGTGAATGTGTTGTGTGTGGATGTTTATATTTATACTTTGTCTAAAAGCAAATAAATTCACTTTTTACGGCGGAAAATCAAACAGTCGGTCGCGGTGCCGAGCGATTTCCATCGTCAAATCTGAGTTGCACGCTTTTGAACACGAAATTAGCGGTGACACAGTTCCTCTCTCCATACACATATATGAATATTTGCATTTCTGATTCGAAGAACACATTGCGACGACGACGACGACGATGAACAATTGAAACGGCTAATTTGCACAAAACTATTGCGCACTTTGGCACACAAAACTGCAATACACTGTGCTAAGCATACGAATGGGTTCAATGAAACATCAAAAGTGGATATTGAGTCAAAATTCGTCGCTCGTTACTGTACGGTTCTGCCACTGTTCGGGGTAAATGAAAGACGATACGATCGACATAACAAATTCCTCCAAAAAAAAAGTATGATGCAACTAAAACGAGTTACGTCTTCCAAGTGAACATTTTCCAAACGAAAAACCAAATCGGTTTCAGTGTTTAAAAAAGTAATAAATCGTCATTGGAAAAAAATCGATCGATTTTGATTTCGAAATAATATTCCATTGCCATTTCGGTTTATATTTGGAACGCTATTGATAGAATTCGATGAATTGCCGAAACGTTATCAGCAACATCGGAAACTGAATGAAGTGATCTTAACCCGTGCACTCGTCATATCATTGAAAGTCGATGCCTGATAGCGTGACGACCAGCCAACTCATTTGAATACTAGTGAAAAAAAAATTTCATTCGTTTTCCTACTCTCTCTTTGACTACATCGAATAAATTCGTGTTGAAGTGCTGATGAGACGAGAGACAAAACAAAAAAATAATTCACCAATTGCAATTTTCAACAATGTGTGTAAGTTTTTGTGTTTCTTCTCTCATTCTCTCTCTGGTCGCAGTGTATTGACTATAATATTTTTCGTTTCGTCGATCCAAGTCTCTTTCTCTCGATGAGTGCCCATGTGCCCAACCGACGGACCGAATGAGCAAAAGGAAGAGCAAGCGCGGAAAAAAATATAACGAATATGAACTACATATATGCGCAATGTTTATAAGTTATATATATATATATATGTTTTTGATACTATACATATAAATGGCAATGAGTTCAGTGCTCTTTATTTACTCATTATTATTACTGTTTCTTTGAGTTCTTTTTTTTCGTGTGTTTTTGTTCTTTTTTTTTCATTGACTCCCTGTATTCACCAAGATGTGTATGTGTCGAAATTGTGTAAATGTGTCTGATGATTTCGTTGCCACCATTGAGGTGAATGAACTTTAAACCATTTTCTAGATATGTTCAATACACTCCTCGATTATTTCGCCGAGCTGCCTTTGCATTTAAAAGCAGTCA